GTGTGAAAATCCCCACGTAGTGTAGTTTTACCAATTTTGAGAACTCGAATTTGTTCGACATAGATGAAAGCCCACGTAAAATTTGGGAAGGGGACGGGGCAAATAAACTGTTACAGTTACCCAAAATTGTAAAGATTTATGGTAGTCCTATGATGAAATGTAGATGTTACGTGCCTCTTTAAAATTATATTCCAAGTTCAAGGCTACACTTATCAATAAACTGTATATAGATTAAGAGTTCAGTTTGCGAATCACTGTTACCTAATGTAATGGGCTTCGTCCAAAAAAAATTTGACAAGTTTAAAATCTGTCATTCAATGATCAAAAATGCCCTAAAAGTGGTGGAAATGAAACGTTTGAAACTGGAACTGTTACGAATCGTTTTAGTTGGAGCTCCTACTATTACTCTCGTCATATTTCTTAATTCCTCTATTTTTTTGTACTGCTTCACCGTTAAATCGTTAGAACCAATGTTTAGCTACAGCTTATACCTTTTTAGCAGTACAAATTTGTGCAAAATAATAAAAAAAACTACGTAATTTCACGTATGTGAATATTTTTTCGGTTTCTAGAATACGTTCTCCTAACCGAAAATGATTCCAGGAGTCTTACTATCATATCATACGGTCATTTTAATAAGAGCTAAAATAGTGCATGAACAAGAAAGTATTAAAGACGGATTGGCCCGGAGGGCTTAAACCTCTGCGTCCTCGGTCTTCAACACTCTTCGGTGTATTCATAGTTTTTGAAAATTCGAAAAAAAAATTCCACTGCAATTCTTGGTCGGACAACGAAAATGGAGAGAATTCCACGAAATTCGTTGTGTTCATACCCTGGTTCATACAAAATTGTCGAACAGCTTTTTAAAATCACTCTTCAACCAAAAGTGATACTAATTTGAAGATTTGCCTTCGCTTCTTCGGGTTACAAAGTGTCCAAATTTCGTCGAAATCAGAATTTTTTTCATATCCTCATTTAGGGGTGCGTCCTTTCGTGGTAATAATTTTGATAAAAATTTTGCAAAACAGAAAGGTTATACCAGAAAACCTATTTAAAAATTAAAAGAAGAAATGCAAATTTCACCACTTTTGTGCGAAACGCGTTGCACCCTAGGTTTATTTGGAAAAAATGCTTGTTTTGATCCCCTCTACCACCCAATTTGTTTTTACATACTTATATGTAACACTGTATTCATATTACCGCACCCCCACGTTAATAAAGGAGGTAGGTATTGCATTGGGGTAAAAAATACACGTTTTGAGGCACCAAGAATCCCAATCAGACAAAATCTCGATGTCGGTCTGTCTGTACTCTCATTTCTAGCTAAATGACTGAACCGATTGAAACCAAATTATATGGCATAATAAAAGGGTGGTACCTGTGCTAGTCACAGCAATTTTTTTTTAATTTACATTTAAGTATTCCAGGTAAAACAAGAAAGTATCGATACGAGGGATCAAGTCTACCTCGGACTGAAACAAACGACATGCAATTGTGTTGAGTATTTTATTTTTCAATGCAGTCTCCCCTAACATCAAAGCACTTAATCCATTTGTCTTTTAAGGAACTAACAGCGTTGGAAAAAACATTTCTTCCTTGTCTGCAAAAAAGGCGCCAACGGTAGCTTCATCCAAATCAAAACTGCGACCCCGAATGTGTCTCGAAACAGATAAAAGTCGGAAGGCGTCAAATCCGGACTGTAGATAGGATGCACTCTTGCACAATTCCATACGATTTTTCGTCAAAAAAAGTCCTGTAATTTGATCACTATGCAAAAAATAATATTGGAAAACGTTACAGGTGGATGGAAGTCGAAGGTGGGCCGTGAGAAATAGCGTCATGTTTGTTTAATTATCTAAAGAGGTTGCGAAACAAACATGCGGTGGTTAAAACAAAAACAAGTTTGTCGCTGCAATGTTTATTTGTGCAGTGCAGTTTTACCAAACAAAACCATTTTTTCATTTTCAAATGGAATGCGACTCTATGCAAGGTCGTGGTGACATTGAAATTACCAGTTCCAGCCTTACGAGTTGGTTGGTATTGTAAAGAATGCAAAACAAACGCCCCCAATATTGAGTTTTAGAAAAAAACATTGGTTTAGTTGATTGGAAAACTCCAGCTAAGCTGATTATGTTAAATCTTTACAGAGATGAAGATGAAGAAAACACAATTATAAAGATGGATAATACGAAAAAGAAAGTCCTTTTAACTGAAAGTTAAAACCAGCTTTGATCAAGAATTTAGAAGATTTTGCCACGTCGGAGATGTCAAGTTACTATAGAAACAATGAAAAAATCTCTCTCTACCTACACGAAAAAAAAATTCTGCGAGAAAGATGAATGCTATTTCCGAAGATTCGATGTCATTTTTTAAGTCTTACAGGAGATGAAGCCATGAAGGTATTGTTGAGTAATCTTTGTTGCCTAATGTTAATTTTTTCTAACACAATTTCTAAAATAATTATTTTAATTAAGTATCTTTGATGTTTGTATTTTTGTAATGTTTATGTGACTAATGTTTAATAAAAACGTTGGTTCTAAAAGTAACTATTATAGTATTATGTATGATTTTTGTATTTTTATCTCCAAAATCTACACGAAATTAAATTATGCAACAAAATAAACATATGAATTAAACATTATACCTATACTGGGAACTCGCAGACAGACTATTAAGTGATAAACAAATTACACTATTTGCTAAAAAAATTTGACAGAGACAAAGTGTCTTTTCATTTACTGTAACTAACGTATGTTGTAAATCATTTCCTAATTCTTCCGACAGGAGCCAAATGAAGTTTTTTAAAAACTGACACAACATTGCAAATGGGAGAAATTTGCACAACGCTGCTTTAATGATCCGAGTGGAATAGACGATCTATCTGTATATGGAACATTAATTTTTAGTACCTAATTAATTTTATAACTAGACGTGTACGTAGTAACTTTTGTTGTGTTCAATGCATGTATCATTCGCGCGTACGCAATGTTTCAAAGTCACCCTCATAATTCATACAAAAATGATAATACTTCGGCGAATCCTTGACGTTTAAAATTAGAAACAAGTTTGTGGTGCTCTTTTCCACCAGCGTGTATCTAACTTGCGTAAAACAACTTAGGTTGAGATTGGTCAAGGTGGCCATGACAATCGCAAGGTCCCGGCAAGTTTCGTTTAACCTCGGATTTCTGTGTTAACTTTCTCTTTCGCGGAAAAAGCTAATTTTTCTAATTGTTTTTCACGTAACGACAAGGGTGTTTAAGGGTATCGCGAGCCGTTGGAGCGAGTCAGATTAAATCAGGTGGGATATGGAAAATTTTGGTCAAAATAATCGAGAAACACAACGGCGCCGATCAATGTTTGCGTACAAATGTGCTGTACCCGGGGGTGGGAGGGGAGCGATACGTTAGCCTCCAAACTGCGGCGAAAGGAGGCGAGCTACTACGTATTTCATATTTCCACGTGTGCTTATAGGTCAATGTCCAATAAGTTCGGATGCCTTTTAAAATGAATGCATTTTATGCACCTAATGTGCTGCATATTTGCCATCGATGTTGTGCTTGTTTACTTTGCGTATCTGTAACGCTGAAATTCAAAAATGAAAATTTCGAAAATGCACGTCTTCTGTTTTTCATTGATTTGTTACAAAATGCGACCTTTTGAAAATATCAGCGGAATTTTCTGTCAACCCGAAATCAAAATATTTGTGTTCTAATAACAAGCGGGGCATTTCTCTCCAGCCAGGTGCAAACAATAAACTGCAATGTTGTAATGCATTTACCAATGTTTATTTTCGCCGATTTCCACATGCCGATTGAAAGTAAGGAGAACACTTTGCTTGCATGAAAAGCGAGTTCGATGCTCAAAAAGTCGATTATTTGGCGCATACCCCTTTTGTACCTACCTACTACGCAGTAATTTTCATTTTACCTAAATTCAAGTTCTAACTTTGGGATGATAAACAAACATTTGAATTTAGGTACGTCACGATTACTACTAGGCACATTTGAAAATTACCAGACGAGGTCGCAGTAAATTGTTTTTTTTTTGTGAATTAATGTACCCCATGTAGTATCTCATTTACGAATTAATCACAACAAAATATTTAGGTATGTTGGTCTTACTCCCCAATCGGTAGATAAACCAAGCCTACCAAACTGATCTCATTACTTGAATTAGTTCAAAAGGGAGTTTATTTCCGTTTAAACATTCAAATTTATTGTCCATTTTATATTCATTGTGCAATTTTTCGTAACTTGACCGGAAATGGTGGCGATTTTCAAAACATACGAATCCATCCATACGTTATTTGGGTGACCGTTATTTGTTTATGAATGTGTAATGTCTTATTTCCGTCGACCTTGTTTCTGCACAATTATTTCTAAAATTTTATGCCAAAACAAAACAGCAATCATTTGTTGGTTGTTTGTTACCTAATTCCATATTGAGGTTCTATACCTCTATAGTTGATTTAAATTGGTTAAAGCTAAACAAATTTCCAAGCATTGTTAACTAGATATTTCAGGGATACACAAAAATAGTGAGTCTTGTACTTGGGCATAGAGGAAATTCATAGAGGAAATTGTATTTCCTCTATGACTTTGGACACCATAATTTCAAGTCAGCGATGAAGGCGAACCAAACACTACATTTTTCAAATTTTCTTTTAATATACGACCTGCGAGTATATCAAAATTATGCATATAACCAATTTTGTTACAGAAATGTTGGTAAAAATAACCCATGCTAATATAGAAGTAAGCCATTTTTTACGAAAGATTATCTACAATGAAGCCCAAGAAGCGGCAACAGTTGGATTTTTGTTCTTGTATTGGCATAGGGTGCTTCTTCTGGAACGAAGTAAGGATACGTTTCTGAAAGTGATACAACCCTTCCCCTTAGTTAGCCCCACCCTCACCCATCAGACACAGCTGCGCCACTCCACCCACCCCTTTACTCTTTAAACAAAACTCCTATATATATGGTGACCATATGTACTTTTTTTAGTAGGACAGTACTTTCTTTTCAAACGCTGTCCTATTGTCCTTTACGATTTATCAAGTACACTTAAATGTACTCTTTTTCTTAATTACACAAAATTAAGTCATACCTTTTGTCCAAACGAAATATAATTATGACTTCTTGCATGTCTTTGGTCATAAATGCTTTGGCGTATTGCTTAGTTGGATTTTGATCCATTGTGCAGCAACCTATCGATGAAATGTTTCAATTCTTAAAGAGTAAACCACAACTTCTGAAAGAAATTCATGGTTCCAAAAAGTACGACTGGTACCAAAATGATGATCAAAATGTTCAGGCAGGAACGTCGGAGGAAAATTAACTTTTAAAATTTATATATACATATAAAGACACTTAATTTATGTACCTATGTTTGATAAAAAAAAACTTTTTTTGCTTACTGTTTGATTAGATTCGTAAAATTGTGACCAAAAAAATTTCCTAGAGTATTAGCAGTGCATTCCCCTGTAAATTATAAATGTACTTTTTTCTTGTTGAAAAATTATGGTCACTATACCTATATACCAATGCTGACCTGACAGGTAGAAAAGGTCTTTCTCGCAAATGCATTGGAAACGCATTCCGAAACCTTCAAAAGCACCGTCATAAAGACTGTTTTCCATAGACATAGCTTTCGTTAGAGACGAAAGTGTCATATAAACATTCGTGAAGTACGAAAATAGCCCAACGATCGTCATTCTCATTATACTGTTTAGAGGGCAGAAGGTGGTGTGCTACTGCTGATGCAGCGCCCGTTTCCTTTTTTTACCACCCGCACGTTAGTAAGGATTGTATGGGCGTATGGCCCAAAATAAAATCCGACTTCCACCTTTGGTGTCGCCAGTGTCTCGATGGTCCACGCCAATGGGCGGCGGCGCGGTGCCATTCCCCAAATACATTTATGGGTGTTAACTAAATAAATATAGCTTAGAATTGCTTTAACGCAGAAGGAGCTATGTATGTATATATACATAATAAAATTTAGATGTCTCACTCATTTTTTACCACCTACAAGGCGCTAAAAGCGGAAGGGGCACACTACCCTCTTGCCTCCCCTCTAGGGATGCCACTGGTCAACACTCCAAGATTTATCGCCACACCGGATCACCTCCAATGTGCATTATTATTTTCATGTATGTAAATTGAATATAAAATACCTTTCAGCTAAGCCTGATGATGGGGAGGTAACCCTCGAAATCGATAGCTAAAGAAAAATATAAAAATACTTCAGCCTTTTGTTCTCTGTTTTATACTCAATACTGACAGATTGAAAAGGAAGCATACATAAATTATACAATTGGAATCTCTACGTTTCGATCATGTACTTACACATGGATTTCGTCGGTTCGGCCCTTTCTACAAACTTAGGATACATGTATGCACTTGCTCTCCTCGACCGCTTCACGACCTGGCCAGCCGTGTTCCCAAAAATGACATCTCCGCCGAGTCTGGATTGCAAGATTCGGAATTCCGGAACAGATTCCAACCGACAGTGACCAACAATTTGAGTCTGTTCTCTTCGCTGAAATCAACCGCCTCCTCGGAATCACACGTGTCGAACTATACCGCATATCATCCCCAGGCGGACGGTAAAGTGCAACGTCATCATCGGACGCTAAAAGCTGCAATCAAGTGCGACAAAATCGAGCGATGGGTAGAAGTGCTACTTACCATCCTTTTTTTCCTTATTTGCCAGCAGCCCGCATCATCCGGACTCCGGACACTATTTTTTATTATAGCATGGGACACTATATATAAGACCCTCAGATCCTCCTTCGCGAAGATATCCGGCCATCCCCAGCAAGCAAACATGGAAAGCCAAGAATTTTCGTCCATCCGTAGCACGTTTTTGTGCGAAAAGAAGCGCAAAGGGATCACTCCAGCCCTTATACGAGGAATCGTTCACGGTAATCAAAGTGAACGGCACCATAAGAAAAATAATTTAGAAAATGGTGCAGTCGACCTGATTAAATGTTGAAAAAATAGATCGCTTTGTATAGGTTAGGGGTGTAATTTTGTTCGGGACATTGACCATAGGCATGGAATCAGTAACATTATACTGATCCATGCTATAGGCGAATTTAGCATGTCGGTTGTGCCATTGACATTCTTTATCGCCTTGGAAACAGGTGCTGGTACGATAACACTATCATCTAATAGTTTAAATTAGGCACATATACAATTTCTCTTATTCTTTGCACCATACGCAGGGCTAAAAATAGTTATTTATCTATAAATTGCAATAAAGTCTCTGTGTTAACGAATTTGGAATTTCATAGTCGAGGTGCGTAGATAGGCATTGAATTTTTCCCTAGAACTCATAGTTACTTAATCTAAAGTTGTAAAAATCGGGGAGATCACCACTAACAAATCTTACGACATAAGTTCTAAGTAGGTATTTTCCACTATGGGTAAATGGAATAGTACATATACGAGGAATAAGTATTATTCTCAATAAGGACCGGTGAAACTTTATGTCCCCAAATGAGTACGTATTGGAAATTTTGTGTAGAGATTGATGGAAAAAACCGTTGCGTGTCACATTTGCATTTATAGCGAGTCATTGACTTGGTTGGTCTTCTACCTATACAATTATATTGGGCCACTTTTGGTTTCAAACCACGAGAGGAACCTGGAGAAGAACTTGAGGGAAGCTTACGCAGAAGTTGAAGGCAATTGGAGAGCGACTTATGAGGAATTGAGAGACATTAATGGATACTTGACAGGAACAGTAAAATTTGATAGAAACTTGAGAAGAATCTGATGCGAACCTGAGTGTAACTGAAGGGGAACTTGAGAGCAACTTTAGAGGAATGTAAGTGAAAAGTACATTAACAAAAAAACAAATTTTGTTTACCACAACCATACCGAAAAAGGCAGATTCTTCTAGATTGTAGGAGGACATGGACATCTACGATTTATCATAAGCATGGAAGCAAAGCGATCTGTGAATTTTTGAGTTAATCTTAGGTTAGGTAATTATAATTACTTACTCCATGTGGCTCACCAAAATTCGTCACACGTTGCAACTGGTGCCTAGCTAAATCGTCGAGGAATCCGTCTCATAGAATTGTAGAGCAAGATATAAAAATTAGAAGTTGTAATTTATATTTAATTATTGTTTACCTATAGACGCTGTTCTCGTGCTAACCTTGAAGGGTAATTATGGTACTCGTTTACACTATGGTATTACCTAGTTTCAGTTGCTCGAGGCTATATACAATTTGCACAAACACTTTGATCGATAAACAAAATTTAATGTATGTAGGTACCTAATCGTTTTGTGTACCATCGGTGAAAGTACATAATACATACGCGTATACCTAGTAAGTTGCTGCTATACATCCATCGTCCTTCAATTACCTACTTTGTCTCCAAAATAAAATCTTCAAAGGAGTATTTATTCTGTAGATTTGAGTGTGAATTGTGAAAACCGTGAAAAGAAATTGGGACGTATGTATTTACTTTCCTTTGTATCGAAACTGTAAATAATTAGCAACTTTATGTCATTTTTACAAAGCGATGTGACTATATCCACCGGTGACGAAATCCATATCTCCCCTTTCGAATAGATTCGATCACTGGTTCTTTCAGCGTTGCCAAAAAACTAGGTACATCAAAACTTTAATGTGTATATTCCCTGTACATTTTTGATTTTCTGGAAAACAATTATTGTTAATGATTCTGTTAAACTTTTTTTCGAAACTTACCTAAATAGTTATCACCAACATATTTAAGGTCAGAACGGTATATACAATTGGGAAAAGTGTGTTCTAAAAATCCTTATGCTTGTCACAGAACACTCTCATTTTTTAAATTAAAGATTATTGATTACTAAAAATCAAAATCAGGCCCATGTTAGTCCTCTCTTCCTCTCTGCTTGAATATTTTATGAGTTCCGCATTCTTCATTAAAGCAAGAAGGTATTAATATTTCTTTCGGAGTTTTTACTGTGCATTTAAAAATGAAAGAATATACCGGCGGTTCCGTTAACAAAATAGTTTGTGAAATTCATAGTTAAAGCGAAGGTAGTAAAAAAAATTATTACATTTATAGGCCACACTTTACAGTATACCTACACATACCAAATTTGAAAAAGAGTGATTTGCACTGGGTCTTCCTACCTTGTACAGATATAGTCACCAAGTTCCATGCAATCCAAGTCCAAGTCCAGCCAAGATCTGCAGTTGGAATTTACAGAAACTAATTCTGGATAGGTTATTTTCATGTTAAAAAAAACAGGTACACATTTTGTCATGACCAGAATTTATTTCACACCCTCTTGAGAAAAAATGCTTGTCTGGGTCCCCTCTACCACCCAATCTTTTTCACATGTTTACTTGTTACCATGGTGTGAATTATTAACTCATAATGTTGATTTTCCTTTCCATTAAGTTGGTGACATTTTCACTGTGTTTGATTTTAGGACGACGGGATATCATCGGATAAGCATATCCTAGGACCTAGGCAAAGCCGTTAGTTCCACATGTTTTTGAGATCTAAGAAGGCCATCTACATTGTATAGATATTGTTGTATTCAGGTCGAAAAACCACAACGCAAACGAAAAATCGGCGTACCTAAAACCTAAATGTGCAAACAAATGAACTTACAATCGAAAATTTGAAGTTGGGGGTGTACCTGTAGTCATTGATAGAAGTGTGTATAACATATGACAGAATATACCTAATTCATAGATTTAAAATAATTAGTACCAAATAATATGTTACTATCTGACGCCTCTACATGACTGATAAAGAAGAGACAGAGACCTTTATTGCCCAAGAATGTACACAATTAAAGGCAGTGAACGAGGGTTTAAGTCGTTAGCCTCATGTTTGGGGGGAATTTATCACGCGTGACTTATCGATGATTTCAACACGGACTGGGTTGCAAAAATCTCCATACTGATAATGATCCTTCATTTCTAACACGCTAATTTTCGCTACAATTTGTGCGATTAGTCGATTGATAAAAACTGTTATTCATTAACCTCGCACTAATCTTTCGTTTTCGGGTAGGTCAAATTCTAATCAGCAGAAAGTAAATTCGTCCTTCATAATAATATTTAGATGTTACCGGGTTGGTACACGTCGAGATAAAGTCGCTTGAACTAGTATCATTCGATCTTTCAACGACAAAGAAATTTTTGCAAATTATGGGAAAGCGTGCACCTGCACGGAAACCGAGCGCTTTTCTTAATGCCCCACCCTGTACTTCAACTGGTAGAGAACAAAAAACATACAATATCCGAATAGTAGAGACCATTTTTAGCGCATTTCCACAAAAATAAAAAAAAAATGCGCTATTGTGACCACTTTGTCCGTCCGTCCGTCCGCTAACTTTGCGACGCTACTAGTTTTTTATCTTAAGAGCTATTGTTCTACTTTTTTCGCTATTTGGTTCGTTATGGTGTCGAGTCTTGTACCAAGGAAGGAATTTTTTCTGTACCGCTTACAAAAAAAAGTTATTGTAAAAAAAAACAAAAAACCGTTTTTTACATGTTCCATAATTTTACACTTTTGCCGTTTATTAACGATCCTAGAGATCGTTTATAATTTTTCATTGCTATCTGTCGCCTGCCGGTTGGTCTCTCCGTCTGTTCCTTTGTCTGTCTGTCCATCTATCTGTCCGTGTGAACGATAACTTTGTTTAGAAATGTCCGATCGCTCTTACATCTCCGTTAGTTATGAACTGAATTGCATGAAATTCAATATGGGCATAGCTTTAGCCATATAATACGCAATGCCAAAAGTTGAATCGAATCGATTCCAAATTCACAGTGCCCTTTTCGCATCTCGACCATTTATAAACCGAATTGCAAACTTTTTTACTTATAAAAGTATTTTAATGAAATTTGATACATAGGCACTTGGAATAAAGGAAAATCAAACGCCAATTTCAAAATTTGGTTTTGCGCATGCGCAGTGCCAACTTTTTTATTTACGGAAGAATTTAAACGAAATTGATACATAGGCACTTGGGATAAAGGAAAATCAAACGCCAATTTCAAAATTTGGTTTTGCACATGCGCAGTGCCAACTTTTTTATTTATGGAAGAATTTAAACGAAATTTGATACATAAGCACTTCGAATAAAGGAAAATCAAACGCCAATTTCAAAATTTGGTTTTGCGCATGCGCAGTGCCAACTTTTTTATTTATGGAAGAATTTTAACGAAATTTGATACATAGGCACTTGGGATAAAGGAAAATCAACCGCCAGTTTCAAAATTTGGCTTTGCGCATGCGCAGTGCCAACTTTTTTATTTATGGAAGAATTTAAATGAAATGTGATACATAGGCACTTGGAATAAAGGAAAATCTAGCGCCCGTTTCAAAATTTTATTTTGCGCATGCGCAGTGCCAACTTTTTTATCTATGGAACTATTTAAGTGAAATGTGATACTTAGGCGCTTGGAACAAAGGAAAATCTAACATTAGTTTTAAATTTTAGGTTTGCGCATGCGCAGTTCCAACTTTCTTATTTAGAAAAGCATTGAAATGAAATTCTTCTCATAAACTGAAATTGAAGTAGCACGTCAACAATGGATTGCCCATGTGCAACGCTATCTTTTATATTTGTGGCTGGATTTTTACGATTTTAACAGAAGTTGCATCTTACAAAATGGGAAATGAATGCAAGTGGAAATGCGCTTTATGTAAATCGTTTACGATTACTTTTTAACTTGTTTTACATTATTAGCCAGGTAAGTGAGATTTTACTGGCTATAGGAGAAGTTGACTGGCGAGCCGTTAGGCGAGCCTGTCATCTCCTAGAGTCAGTAAAAACTATTACCTGGCGTATAATGTACAATATTTTATTTGTTACTCATTTGTAAACAATAATAAACGTAAATAATTAGTTCTTAAATTGATCTTGAAGAAATGTCTAAAATATCATGTGATCCATGTAACAGAGACTTCGCATTAATTCTGACCAATGAAATTACTAGATTACTAACTTGTAAAATTTTTACAGGTCTGCTGTCAGTTTTACAAGCCAGTAGCGTTTAAGCATGACGTTTACCCGTTTGCGTTTTGTCTTGTTAATCAACGTTTACAACTGAGTAACAAATAAAATAATTATCGTCATTTTGAATTATAAAAGATGAACCCTCTGGTATTCTACATGAGTATATTACCAAGATTCTTTTTTGTGCACCCCCATGTACATTTCCTTAAAATTTTCCTAAATTATTAAAAAAATTATTTGAGATTATTTTGATTTCCGAAACATTTTGAGATTTGAGCCCATCCACATATTAACTACAGAATAGCGAAAATCCCCAATTTCAATAAACCTGGCTCCCTTTTATCTACGATTATGAAACGTTGTTCAAGCTTAAAGCTACGCACTATTAAGATATTACCAAAGTTAGTGATTTTGAGATACAAGAAGGTTAATGAAAAAGACAATCGATCTGCACAATAGTTGTGTTGAGGTCGCAAAACCGCAATTCCTCAATTTTGTAAGGGTTTATTTAACGATTTGTGAAGGGAATATCAATATATAGGAGAATATAGCTTCAGATCTCGTTAATCTCGTTGGGAGCTGGGGCTGGGGCAGTGTCATACTTTATACTATGCGATCAAAAAGTTGCTGTCAAGTCACCTTTGGAAGTTCAAGTTAAGTACGATTTCCCATCTAAACAAAAATTCCAAAGGTGACTCGATAGCAACTCATTTTTGATCGCATAGTGTTTTAACTTGAACTTCCAAAGGCGACTCGACGTCAATCCTTTTTTGACCGCCCGTTACATGTCTTCATTTATAGAGGTGTGCAAACGAAAAATCGATGTGCCTAAATGTGCAAATAAGAGAAGCACAATCGATTTATTTAGTTTGAAGTTGGGGGTATATAGTGAAGTTTTCCCCCAGTTCAAAATTTGATTTTTAACTTCTTCGCTAGTTTACGGCTGTAAATAAATGTGTCACATTAATAGAATATCATTCCTAGATTTAAAATAATTAGTACCAAATAATATGTTACTATCTGACGATTCTGACGCCTCTACATGACTGATAAAGAAGAGACGGAGACCTTTATTGCCCGAGAATGTACACAATTAAAGTCAGTGAACGATGGTTTGAGTCGTTAGCGTTAGAAATTACTGATACTGATACTTAGAACACGGGCGGGGTTAAAAAAGATCTTGGATGGGGTAAGCGGTTAATTGGAGGATGACATTTCATTTCTTCTAACAACGCTAATTTGTGCGATTAGTCGATTGATAAAAACTGTTATTCATTAACCTCGCACTTAATCTTTCGTTTTCGGGTAGGTCAAATTCTAATCAGCAGAAACTAAATTCGTCCTCCACAATAATATTTAAACGTCGTCGGGTTGGGGTTATTAACTGTACACGTCGAGATAAAGACGCTTGAACTTGTGCCGTTCGATCATTAACGACAAAGAATTTTGCAAATTATGGGAAAGCGTGCGCGGATGCGATCCGTAATGAATCACATCACAAATGAAAAATCCGTAGTTGCTCGCCTCCACGTGGCCGCGTGATGCCGACTAGACTGAACGGCATCTTTACGGCGTGAAGGGAGCGGGGGATTTAACTCGGTGCCGCTCGTAGAGCTACGACGTGCTACGAAAGCGTGGAAATAAACATTCAGTATATATTTGGTAGAGCCTCAGATTCAAGCAAAATAAAAAAAGTGCGATTTTTTTGAAACTTTAGTGAAATATATTCTTAGGAAATAGTTGGTAATTAGATGTAATTAGTGTTAATGTTAAATAGTTGGATTTTATCTAATTGAGGGGTGTGCAAATAGAACATTTTTTTGGAAAAATTCCTTTGGATAGCCTACTGACAGGTAATTATCATCTAATTGTGTATATTTATATAAATTTTGCGAAATTGTATTAATTAATGAACTGTTGGCGATATTTATAAATTGTTGAGTAAGGTAATGGTGGTGTCGCTGTGTTTATATTTTGATTGTGATTTCATTTCTTCTTTCAAATTTAAGTACAGAGAGGGTTTATTTATGATCTCGTTTTTTACCCGGCGTTATATTCGCCGGTCCGGACAGGGGCGGTTTTGGGGTTCGAAGTTGCGAATTTTGGCGAGAATTTTTCGATAACTATGAATAGGTACTCCGTGTAATTGGCAGTTATGCATGTTTTGCATCGAAGTGCATTAAATTGGCGGGACGCAACGAACGGACGACACCCAAATTCAGACCTACCACTCTGTAGGTTGTCGAGGTCGGCGTTCGTTTGTAAAAAGCCAGCAGAGCCACGTGGAGGCGAGTAACTACGGGACCCGTGCTCGTGCGTCCTCCGTATAATTTTAGATGACGTTCAACCTTGCGGTTCGTTGCTTGATACGAACACCGTGGTTACTCGCCTCACTGCAGCCTCGTGTCGTTCCAATGTTATCTTGGTTCTTGTTTTGTTCTCGTAATCTAATGTTTAATGATTTATAAATATAGATAGTAGTTAGAAATAAACATTTTTATTTAAATCTTGCCTTTAGTTGGTATTTAGATAAAATGAGGTCATCTGAATTCGCATTACTCTTTAACTGTTAAACCTGACCTACTCAAGTAGATTCGAGCTTGTTTCTATTTACGCAACCAACGTGATTTAATAAACCGGCAAACGATGACGGTCTCTGCCAAAAACATCCCCCCAATAATTTTAATTTTTTTCGTTAGATTAACGAAAATTTTCGAGATACGCGGGGTCAAAAACCGACCTAAGAGCGCCCCTCTCCTACGCATTGCACACGCATAGGGCGGGGCTTAACAGTTGAACGCAACTCGCACATGTCACAAACTTGCATTGTTATGGTGCACCTCAAAGATTGTACGTGTAAAGAGTGCCTTGACACAGGTCCCGATCCTTCCGGTTCACAATGCCTAACGAAAACAAACTTAACACTGCCGAAGAAATTTTTATAAAAAATTTATTTTTACGATGCAAAACCGAATCGGTCGAGGGTGCGTTGAATTGATGCTTTGATTTATTTTCCGATTTTTACGTTTTTATTTTTTTTCCAGAAGATTTTTGGCCACAAGTGTCCGAAATGGTGGGTTATTACAATGAAGCCATGTTACCCGTCGGGGGGCCAGTGCAGACGTCCGAAGAATCGCGATTATCAGTAAAACGTGTTGTGTGCAGTCCTGACTTGCCAATCAGCAGTTTCCCGAGTTCGCAAACGGATCAACAAAATAATCAGTGCCAATTATGTAATAAGTTGTTTACATCAAAAACGGCGTTTCAAGCCCATCAGCGCACTCATGCGAAGGAAACTGACGATCCCTATCGATGTAATATTTGTTCGAAGACCTTCGCAGTACCTGCTCGCTTAACACGCCACTATCGCACGCATACTGGCGAAAAACCATTTCGTTGTGAATTCTGCAACAAGAGTTTCAGCGTGAAGGAGAATCTAAGTGTGCACAGGAGAATCCACACGAAAGAAAGACCGTACAAATGCGACGTGTGCTCCAGAGCATTTGAACATTCGGGTAAGCTGCATAGGCATATGCGGATACACACCGGTGAACGCCCACACAAATGCACGATCTGCTCGAAAACCTTCATCCAATCCGGACAATTGGTGATCCACATGAGGACCCATACCGGTGAAAAACCCTACGTTTGTTCAGTGTGTCAAAAGGGATTCACCTGCAGCAAACAACTGAAAGTGCACTCGCGCACCCACACTGGTGAAAAACCCTACTCCTGCGAGATCTGCGGAAAATCATTTGGATACAATCATGTGCTTAAGCTACACCAAGTGGCGCATTATGGAGAGAAAGTCTACAAGTGCACAATCTGCAACGACACATTCAACTCCAAAAAGTCAATGGAAGCTCACATTAAAAGTCATTCCGAAAACGCCTCACCTACCTCACTAATCCCAAGCGACTCCTCTTGCTCATCAAGCAGCGACAAAGAAAACAAAGACACCCCCATAGACATTGTACCTACCATTCCCGAACCCGCAGTCGTCAGCTACGATTCCGATATCCGCTACTACCTCTACACAAAAGACCGAAGCCGCCTATCGCCTCCACCGTTCTCCTACATCCCACACTCTCCCAGCTATGCATCATCAGGAGTCGAACTACTAGCGGCCGCTGCAAGCGTAACCGAACGCGTGCAGCACTCGCCCGACGTGGTCTTAAACTTGATCTCTAAAACCGCCCCGGACATGGTGGCCACACTTCGACATCCGGCGTACTTCTCCGCCCCAACTCTTCACTACGACACACCGCTGACGGCCGGCGACAATATCAGGCGACAAGTGGAAGCGTGCCTGGCAGTCGAAGAAATCGCGTCGGAAGACGAACCCAGCATTACACCACCAAGTTCCAATCCAGTCTCGCCCGCCCCATCCCTCTCACCTGATCCCGAACTCAGCCTACCTCCCAGGAAACGATCGCGAATGATTCTGAAATCCATGGAGACGATCTTCACCGAAGACTCATCTCCCGTACGTTACAGCTCTGTCATACAGTATGCGCGCGCGTCTTAAGCTTCCACGCTTCTTCAACTCTCTTCATTTGCGCGATTCCTCTTTTTTTTTGAAAGCAGCAGAAGGAAAAATGAAGTGGTATAGAAAACAGAACGGTTTTTTTAGTTTTCTGTGATAAGACTGCAAGAAACCAACATTTACCTCATAGCCGTGCCTAGGGCTCAGCCCCTCGCAATATTTTACACTACAAAAATACATTGTCACGTCATAATGCGGTGTAGTAATAATAGTAATATAAATTAATTCTATCAATCTAAATGTGTTATGACTGGAATTGTTTTTCTATATTTGTTCGTGATGTTGAAAGTCATTATGGTCGTGATTTTATATGACGTTATTTTCTGTAATTTTTAGTATTTCTTTGATAACTAGTGTAAAATGTACTGTATTCTAAGTCTGAGCCATTGTGCACCAATGGCAATAATTTATTGTATTCCTTATCATGAATGTTATGTATATGATAAATAATAAAAATATAGTAATTTATTTTCTTTTTTTCCGACATTAAAATTCCAGAAAGTTTTAAAAACCAAAAATCGTTATTAAGTGGCGAATTTGACCAGAGATAGTATACATATTTTTCAGTAAAAGTATCTCCATAAATCTAACGTAGATATACTAAACGGTGAACAATTAAATAAAAAAGGGAATTATTACAAGTGCACTGGGCCATATTTGTGTTTCAAGTTTCAGGAGATTAATTTGGGCGCAGTTGGCGGACGAGACCGTATAAAGTAGATTTCAAACTCGTAATTCCCAAGTAAACAAACAGCCCATGCAAAAATAATTTGTGTGAAACGGTCGTAACATGCCGTTACTCCAAAAATAGTATTTCATTAGTTATTTTATTGATGAGAAAATTGACCGCCTTCGATGTCATCTATCAGATTTAACGAAAAACAGAAACTACTAAACTGAAAGATTGCTTTTAGTAGCCCAGTCTACTGTGGCGACATTTCAATAGGAGGCAAGACTGTTGGCATTTTACAATAGAGGGCGATACATATCACACGACAAAGGGTATATAACGAATTATACTCTTTAATATAACGTATGTACACTCTTTGCGTATGACTAGGGTAACTTTGTTAATTGTTATGCTTTATGTTCATATATATCAAAAATGAGTTGTTGTCGAGTCACCTTTGGAATTTTTTTTACATGAAAATTCGTCATATATACTTCTTTTATATATATGGAAATGGGAATCGTACTTAACCAGTGGCGGATTTAGGCTTTGGCATTGAATAAAAAATTAAGGCTTTGGTCAAGGGAGGGGCGCATACAATTTTTAAAGGGAATATATTTTTAAAAACACATTTAATATATGTATAAAAATAGAACATTTTTGGTATAATACATAATATAGTGAGCAAATATCTAATTCTTCATAAACTAAGAAAAGAACAAACCATAAAATGCTTAAATCATAAAGGCGAGCTTTCTTTTTGTCGGCGCAAATCGATTCTTTTCTACTTTCCACGAAATTTGTCCAATAGATATTCTTACACAATTAGGGCATTGTGCGCAGGCATCTTGTTGAAACCAACAGTTTCCAACTTTTTTTTTTTTTGCGTGCCGAACATCGTTTTATTCGTAAGAAAATCGCGTATCTTGGAAAACTCAATAAGTGACAATGAGAAAATGTTTTTTTTTGTATCTGCTCAAATAACATCAGAAAAAAATAAAAACGGAATCAACAAATTTCTTGTCTCTAATTTGACTATCTCCATGTCTTCTATTGTTTCCGAAATCCCCATGATTATTATATATTATAACCTATTACAAATTATATGTTAGAATAATATATTATTTAAATAAAGTTTCTTTGATTATACCATTGTATTTACAATGATTATACGAAAAATGAAAACAAATTTCGCCTTAAGGCGTGTAACAGTAACAGTGCATTTTCCATGAATTTATCAGTACTTCCCAAATATCCTCCCACCAGGCCTCGGAGTCTTTCAATATAAAATTTTATATTCAAAAAGTCGGAGTTCATCAGTTCCTTGTAATACCATTGAATTTATATAACTATAAATTCAATGGTAATATGTCGCAAACGGCACCCAGAGGCGTAACTAGAGTATGGCAGGCATGGGCGCAAATCAAGGGGGGGGGGGCGAAAAAGCCGCTTTTATAAATAGGTATAAATATGTATATTAAAATATTTTGAGAGTGGAACATTATTATATAAGTAACACTTTTATGTTAAATTAAAAAAAATAGTTCCGACCCCCTATCGATGGACGGTCGGAGAGGGGTGCAAGATCGGTGTTTGCCATTGGGGCCATTGACTCATGATACGCCCCTGACGTCACCCTTCTGGATAAGGGTCGTAACATGCTCGTAATACTATTAAAGGAGATGTGCGAGAATTTTAGATAGGAATTAACAAAACAATTGAGCACTTTTAAGTAAGTACTGTATCGACAGTATTCGCGACTTTTCCTTCACGTACCGATCACTGTGGAGTACGGTACAATCGTCACTTGATGCGACACCGTTGTCTTTTCTGCTCGAACGAAAACTCGTAGCTTTGTACCCATATACCACATATCTATACGAAACCATAAACATTTCCTATGTTAAAGAAATAAAATTTTTGGAAATAATATCTGATTAAAAATGCCGCATTTTAAAATGTAAAGATTTAATTTATTACAATTAAAAACGTATAAAATTATTAGTGCCCATTTCACAGCAATAAAGTTAAATTCTCGAAATCATCGTCCCATCCAGACAATTCATCAGGAGGTATATCGGAATCTTTTTGGAATTTATCGAAGTACTGTGTATCTATATTACTCTTCAAAGATCTTTTAAATGGCGCCCTTAACTGTCCGGCTTGCAATAATTCCCAATCAAAACCCGTAAACCACCGATGATCTCGGATTGCCTGCACGCCCTCCTTTTGGCAGCCCAGTCTTTCTGTCGGCATGGACCTGCACAATTTTTTAATTAAATGGCCGGCTTTTCTCGGTATCACTTCCGGAAATGGCATAATACTCTCAATTCCGCGTAAGATTAAATTATAGGTTTTCATATAACTGGAATCGTTACTTCGAAATGGTGTTCTGCCCACGATCATTTCAAAGATAAATATACCCAGAGCCCAGTAATCCACCGAACGGTCATGGCCACGGTTTAGCACAATTTCCGGCGCCACATACTCCGGCGTACCCGCGAACGTGTAAGATCGCCCTTTTGGTCCCAGCTTCTTGGCAAAACCGAAATCGGTCAGTTTCAAATTTCCCATGGGATCCAGTAAAAGATTTTCTGGTTTTAAATCCCTGTAAACTATACTGCGTTCGTGTAGGTAGGCTAACGCCTCTAAAACGGACGCGGCATAAAACCTCGCCGTGGTTTCCTCAAATCTGCGCCCTTTCTGCCTTTGTAGCAACGACCATAGGTCTCCACCCAAACATGCTTCCATTAGAAAGTATAGGTACTTATTATCTCGCATGGTCTTGTACATTCGTACAATAAAAATACTATCGCAGCTTATTTGGATCAACTTCTCGTTGAAAACATGCTCCTGATGGTGTTGCAGCACCATATCGATCTTCTTTAAATACTTAAGGGCGAACACAAGCTCTTCTTGGGCTTTATGTTGCACTAGCTCCACACGACCAAAACCTCCCACACCCAAAGTACTACGTCTTTCCAAATCGCTCAATTGTATATCGATATACGGATTCTCAACTTTGTTTGATATTTTCGCTTTGTTCGTATTATAGGAAATGTTCTCTATGTCTTCTACGTTTCCGAAATGTAAAATAAAATCTTCGCGCGACAACGAGAAACATTCTACGCCCGGTGGATCGGCCACGACGGTGGCCTGCCTAACAATATCATTAAGTAGGGCCAGTTCTCCAAAAAATTCTTCGCGAACCATATTACCAACCTAGAAAAAGGGTTCGCTTAATAAGTAGTTTAGAACTTACACATATCATTATGATACGTACTTTCCCTTCATTTTCCCGACTGATTGTCACACTTCCAGCACTAATAATGTAGAATTTGTCCCCCTCGTCCCCTTGCTGAACTATAACTGCACCAGGAGCAAAAAATTCACGTTTGAGTAGGTCGGTTACTCGACTTAAGACCTCCTGCGGAACGGAATTTAATTTTGGAACGTTCTGTAAGAAGTTTAGTAATTGGTCTCGATGCTCAATTTCACTCTTCAGCATTAGTTTTTGGTAAACACTTTGTTCGAGCACCCAAACTCGCCCATCGCTAAGTGCTTCTATTGTTGCCAATCTTTTTGCATCGTACAAAATTGCCAACTCTCCAAACACTCGATTATCGTCAAATGTTGAAACCAGTTTGTTTTTAATTATAACTTTGTATGTGCCGTTTGCCGAAATGTAAAGTTGCGTTCCAACACTGCCCTCCTTTATAATAATTTCATTTTCTTTGACCGTTCGATCGTACATAGCGTCTACCACAGCTTCCAATCGACCACCTTCGAGTAGGTTCTTCAAAAATTCGTTCTTCTTAAGCGCATCTTTAATTAATTGTTCGTCTCTAAAATGCATTTGCGAATTACTACCGACAGTGTCATTATTTTTAAGTCTCACGCTTCAGATTTTGAATATTTGGTTATTTGAACATTCGAAAAATCTTCGTCGACATTCTTCGAATGGCCAGCCAAACCTGACCGACGCCTGTTCGCATCAACCTCATTAAGATCATCATCTGAAATAGTTAACGAGTCTGGGACCTTATCGACCTCATTGGAAATCTCGTCTCTTGCCTTGACCGGATTAGGAATTCCGTCACCATTGTGTTGAAGTACCTTGGTCGGAGCGGGTGGAGCCTGTGGAACGTTCCAACTACGTGACTTTCGCCACCTGCATAAAAACATGGCGAAACCTAAAAATATACATTTAGACTGATGTAAACATAAGAATGTAGCGAGGTACATACCAAACCGATGCTACACCAAGCGAACAAACTTAGTCAAGATAAGATTGTCTTTATAAATCAATTTAGAAACTGACGATAAAATTTTTAAAAAATGTGCTGACTAATTTTGAGATTAGATATGGTGAGTACATAAAGCGTTTTACGACCGGACCTGTTAAGAAGTTTACAAATTTGCAAACACAGTCACACCATTCTAGAAATGAAGTGAGTTATTCATACCGACTGATAAATAGAATTCCAAATTTCCTCACTGAGCAAATTTAACAATTGAATTAGAATGAGTGCACACTTTGTACCTTTCTGATTAAAGGTAACATCAGAGAACTGAGTAATACCATTTAATAAAAACACTATTTTTGTTCAATGGTGATAGATAGTTACCTATTACTTCAAAACGTTGCTCTTATCGGCATCAAGGATACATTTATATTTGTTTTATAGTGTGCTATTACTATATTTACTCGCCCACTGAAGTTGTGATTTTGCACCCAATATACCCTTGCTATGGTCACTATCTACAACCCAATTAAGCTACCTTTATAGGAACATAATTTGGCAATATAACTACGCAGATAGCAGATTATGGGACGTGAAGTCCTCTGGGATAAAAATCAAAGCAATGAGTCCATGACATATTCTATCCAACCCAAAGAGAAATTCTCTCAACGAGCCATTAGAAGTTCGTTATGACCTCCAACTTTTATAAATCTAGTTACAAAAAAAACATATGAATATCCGGTTTTCTGTGTTAGTAAATTTAAACATCAAGCAACTATGCAGATGCAGGAAAATTGCGCATGGCAAAACAACCTTGCACAATCCAATTTTAACATTAGAAATGTTTATGCTATCACGAGCGTTTTCGTATATACCTAGGTACAATACAAAGTTGTGATGTTTCGTTCAAGATGGGAAAAAACAACGGTGTCTCATCAAGTGACGATTGTACTGTACTCGACCGTGATCGGTAGGTGAAGGAAAAGTCGCGGACACTGTCGATACGGTGCTACTTAAGAGTGCTTATTTTTTTCTGTAAACACAATGTTTATTCAACCACAAAAAATTTGTTTAATTCCATCTAAAATTCTCGCATCTCCTTTCATAGTAACGGGCTATTCAACAACTGGTTCTTTTTTCAATAGATTTTTTGACAGATACGCGCCACTACTGTCAAACTAAACTGACATTTCTACTCTGTATTGTTTGTCATTCATGGAAAGACTTAGGCCGGATGTCCACCGCATCGGAACGACCAAGATCGGTGCGATATGAATCGTCCGATAAAGATCGCGCACGTGCGCTTCTATTGAAGCCTGTCCACAGGCTGGATCTTTTTCGGGACCGATCGAAATCGCAACCGACTATTTTCTCCCGACGCGACGCTCTTTCACGATCATTTGTCGGCAGTAGTGTGTCATAATAATCAAAAGTGCTGATAATCTTTCTTCTACCGTGACACATCTTCTGTAATTGGTGTCCCTTTTGGCAACTCATGGTCGAGCAATGTCAGCCAAAAGGAAAAAACTACTCTTGGACATACGATACATACATTTAAATTTGTGTTCATAATTCGCAAGTTTACGGGCACAAATGAAAGCACCTCTTTTTCTATTATTAGTTATGTACCTACGGATGTACCGAATAACTGTGGCGGCGAATTTTCTTTCTCCTGTGGTGCAAAAGCATGACAACTGCTTCGTCTTCACTTGACATTTATATGTCAACTGTCAACCCGATAAAAATCGTTTGAAAGGCGATCGACCTATGGACATGAATTGCCAATTTTAGTCGGCCGGATCAATCTGGATACGACTACAGTTGGACCGATTTTCGTCGCCCCGATTTGGTGGACATCCGGCCTTACATTTCAACAACGTCTAGAAATTGTTCAGATTTATTATGAAAATCACCGTCCTGTAAAGATGGTTTTTCGTGCACTTCGATCAATTTATGGTCGTCATGGTCGGCCTTCTGAACGCGATATTGGCAAAATTATTCGTAAATTTGAAACGGAATTTACATTATTGGATATTCAGCGTCCTGTTCGAGCTCGTCGGGTACGTAGGGCTGCAAAACATAGTGGCTGTAGCAGTCAGTGTCCGCGAAAACCGTCGTGAATCGATCAATCGCCGTTCTCAACAGCTTGGCATGTCTTATTCAACAACCTGGCGCATTTTGAAAAAGGATTTGGGCCTTAAAGCATACAATTTCTGGCTCAATGGTTTCGTCAATAAACAAAATTGTAGGATTTGGGCTGAAGAGCAATCCGAAGAGTTTCAAGTGTAACACCCAGCGAAAACTACGGTCTGGTGTGGTTTATGGGCTGGTGGAGTCATGGCGGTCCTTCAAAAATGATGATGGCTGGAACGTAACTGTGAATGGTGCTCGCTATCGCGTCATGATATCGGACTTTTTGCTACCTAAAATTGAAGCCCGTGATCTCCACAACATTTGGTTTCAACAAGACGGTGCCACTTGCCATACGCCTCGTGAAACAATGGATATTTTCAGAGGTCATTTCGAAGAGCAGCTGATTTCACGTTTTGGACCGGTGAGTTGGCCGCTTAGATTGTGCGATATTACGCCATTAGACTTATTCCTTTGGGGCTACGTCAAATCAAAAGTTTTTTCCGATAAACCGACGATTGAAGCATTGGAAGCAAACATTGTGCGTGTTATTCGTGAGATTCCGGTCGAAAGAGTGATAGAAAAAGGGGCTCAAAGAATGGGATATATAGATAATAGAACGTAGCTACGGTCAACATTTGCGGATCATTTTCAAAAACTAAATGGCAAACATGTTCTTTCAATTGATAATAAAGATTTCATCATTGCATCCAATTTAATGTGTTTTAATTACTTTTTAAAAAAGGACCAGTTGTTGAATAACCCTTTATTACGAGCATGTTTTTCTGAATTATATGAATAATTTTCTTAGGATGCCTGTAGTAGGTACCTATAGCGTGGCTAAAAAAAATAAGGCGCTTACTCTGAAACAGGCTGTATAGTAATGATGTAATAGACCTCTGCTTCCGCAAGTGTGGAATTTTTATATATTTTTTTTAACTTCCGCTTCCGTTATTATATAACGGAAGTACACAGGAATTTTTTAATATGGCAAAGTGCGCTGTCCGCTGTGATTGGCCGAACGGGACGCCGCGGGCGGGGTTTGTTTACTTTCATTATCTCATTACTTTGTCGCAACAATTCGTGCGTTTTACCGCATAGTTTAATAAATTAAATTTTTATGACGAACTATTCTAGTTTTATAATAGTACGAGCAGACGCGCCGCTTCACCACCCAAATGTCCCGCTCCCCGATGTACTATAACCTCGAGTTCGGCGGCACAGCCGCCTCAGCTCGTCCAATATTTATTATATACTTTACTACCTATTCTCATATGTACCAAGTGTACAAAAAAAATTTCATAATAATTGATCGAACCATTTCAAAGGAGCTCGACAACAAACATAATTACAGATGGTGTCTCTCTGCTGAACGGTATTATAAAAGTTGACATATGTCGACTGTCTGTAGTCAATTTAATTGGATAAAACTGACTACTTGTATTCAATTTAGTTAATATTTTAGACCCTTGTAATTGCGGTAGAGTACCTATGCTCTATTTTCAGCAATGGAAAATGAGCTCGAACAAATTTTTATAAATCTTTTGTGTTATCGCAACTTATGCGTATACATTTATCCAATCACCACCACAGATACAACCATGCTTTAGGTCTTTTGACATAATTATGCTACCTACATATTAGACATTATCATCCTTCAATAAAAGTTAGAAAGGTGGACCTTGTAGATGTCCAAAAAAAAACCATTAGGCTACAGATGAGACATCATGAAGTATTTAGCTAAGAGTTTTTACAAAACGATCATACTCTGTAAATATTGTATAATTCAATGTTTCAGTGGGCTATAGGCATGTTAGTACATCAGTCTAGAGTCTAGACTATAATCAGTTCACCCAACATATACAGTTAAGCCACTCCCAATAAATTTTTGGCAATATAATAAGTGATTGCATTTTGTTTTTTTCGTTTACAATCTTAGACCATATAGTACATGGCTATATGGTCTAAGATTGTAAACGAAAAAAATCAGTTAAATCACTTGAAACGAATACAGCTATTAACTAATAAAAAAGACCAGTTTACACAAAATTATAAAAATCGCATGTCACATTTACATGAGTAAGCTACAAAGCGTCATGTTTTGAATATTGACCTTTCAACACACAGCAGTAGTTTCAAATTATTTATTAGATACTTGTAAAAATCACATGTAAATTTAGAACGTACATGTCATATATGTATATGGTTTAAGAAACTGCAAATTATTACAATGAAGAAAAGTTGGTCTTACCAAGTATTCTCCCAAATTTGAGAATTTATATGTAGACTGCAGTGTAAACAAAGATTCGTTATAACTTAAGGTCTCCTACTGAGCAGCTGATCTATCCCGACCAAAATGTGTGTGAATACTTTTAACATGAATAACTTTTGTTTACACGGTAAGAGTATAAATACTTTCTGCAAAGCAGGACGGTCTTGACTGGTCTGCGGCATAAGGGAGCGAAATGTTGCGTTTAATCTGATTCCGTCAATGTTGAGTCATCTCCCACATTGATACTACGATGTCTACCATTTGCCACATTTGGTCTTCTTCGGTTTGGGTATGCCCGATTGAATTCTGCCAACTTTCAACAGCACATTTTCACGGATTGTTCAAATAACGGATGAAGGTCTTTTATTTTAAATGTGGCATTTTTTCTTCCATACATTGCTTACAGTATGCCCAACTTCAAGTTTCGCCTATAGGAAATACTTCATGCCTTCTTCCCCTTACGTTGCTCCAGTTACGTAAAGATTTCCTGTTCCTTGATAATACTATCAAGAGACCTTTTCCTGTATCTATGACAAGAACAAAATGCATACCATGTAAATAGTATTTTACATTATTAGCCAGGTAAGTGAGTTTTTACTGGCGATAGGAGAAGTTGACTGGCGAGCCTGTCATCTCCTAGAGCCAGTAAAAACTATTACCTGGCGTATAATGTACAATATTTTATTTGTTACTCATTTGTAAACGTAAATAATTAGTTCTTAAATTGATCTTGAAGAAATGTCTAAAATATCATGTGATCCATGTAACAGAGACTTCGCATTAATTCTGGCCAATGAAATTACTAGATTACTAACTTGTAAAATTTTTACAAGTCTGCTGTCAGTTTTACAAGTCAGTAGCGTTTAAACATGACGTTTACCCGTTTGCGTTTTGTCTTGTTAATCAACGTTTACAACTGAGTAACAAATAAAAATTTTTACCGACCGAAAACAAGTGTTCTTGATCGAAATGTTGGCAGGTCATTTTTTAGGTGGAGAAAAAGCAGCTCCCGCTACATTCATGGTCATATCTAATCCCACGAAAGAGTTTCTACTCCACAATCACTTCACTACCTTTCAAATGACACAAATCTTTAAAGACTATTTTGTTTGTATAGTGGCCGTTTAGACCACCAAATTTAAGCGGGGCTTAGCTTAAGAGTAGTTTAAAATCCATTGCAACGATTATTGGGACAATGGTTGCCATGAATTTTAAGCTACGATTAAGCTAAGTCCAGCTTAACTTTGTCATAAACGAATAACAGCAAATTGGGGAAAGATAAATACAAAAGGCAGTGACAGATGTCAATTCAGATTAGAATTGGAAGTAAATGGTATTTCGAAAATTCTGCCAATTAATGTTCATTTAAACTTGCCGGGAATTTTTTGGGAGGAGCTTAACTGCATCTGTTGGGTAAATAGATTAATGAAATTTTAACAAAATATGTAGCTGTAAGACATGATTTACGAATTAAGATACAATAATAAAACAACTAAATATAGAATGGTTTATTCTTTATTAATTATAACCATACGAGTTAATAATTGCTGTGTGTGGAGCAATTTGCTTACTTTGTTTCTCAGTCGCGGCGCGCGTGATCTTACTTAATTTCGAACGAAGACGGATGCTTGCAGCAGCACGTACTTTACGTTTCGTTTCGAGAGCCTCCACAACATCCTTGTACTTCCAGCCAACTTCATCGGAGATACGCCCAACGTCACAATACTAAAATTCAACCACATTGTCATCCATACAAATTTCTTGCAAAAGCTGCACTTACCCTACGTCCTGGTCGAAGGCATAGCATACGAAGCGCACCAGGTACTACTACACGTTTCCTCTTATCGTACGGAGGTGGAATTCCTTCGTAGCATTTTAGACGTCTAAGTGCTTGCTTTCCACGCTCAATTTTGTGTGGGACCATGCCTTAAAATAAATCTCTTTAACTTGAACTTTAGACACGGAGGCGATAAATAAAACATATCAAAAATCATACGAAGTTTAGTTACATATTCTATTTCAAATAATGTAGGTAAGATGTATTATAATCACGTAATTATACACAAGTAAGAGTAGATTAAAGAAAAACTTACCACGAACTGTCTTCCAAAAAATTCTGGATGGTGCCCTAAAATGGAATGGTCCACGAGCGGGATTTACATTACAGCGTTTACGTAAGAACGCCAAATACTTCAACTTATTCCTAAAATCGTAAGTGTAACAGCAGCAGGATGTAATCGTAATAAACCCACCTGAAGAAATTTCCGGAAATATTTAATTGTTCACATCTTACTACGATAACTTTGTCTCCTTGTAATAACGTTTTGGCGACCACAGCTGCTAAACGCCCAAGTAAATGGCCTTTGCCGTCTATAATAACCGCCTGGAAAATGAAAATGCTGTCAATGCACGTGTTGATATATTTTTAGGTTAAAAAATTTGAAAGCGAGCAAAAAGTTAAACTGAATAATTTTTGCCCTCGTTTACAGTTAAACAATTTCGTACGCTTGGTTTTATTAAACACATAACTAAATAATTAACAAATTTTTATTCACCTTTTCACTAAAACCCGTCATGTTTCTCAACAATCATGAAAAGGAGTTCGCCGGAAACTAGTAACCAGAAGAAGCATGACGTTTTTGGTTACTTTTACGGTTGGTATTTCCGTAAGGTCTGCGCGGTATTTTTAAATTTAATTCACTCGCGATTTCTTCTTTCTGTACTTGGTATTTTATTTAAAAACTCAAAAATTAACACATGCTTGTTGTAAGAATTGGGCTTATTTATGATTTTGACAGAACATAGTTCTGCCACGTTCATATTCAACAGTTACCATGGACTAATTACACTATTTTAGTGCATACATCACATTTTAGCTAATTTATTAGATACACTGTTATTCAAGGTTCCGTTATTTATTTTATTATTACATCGTCATAATACCTATCCTTTCCTATTCGACATATCAGATCCAAAATGTTATGTCTCTGGATCTCTGCGTCTTGGTTTCCATCCCAGATAGAATACACATTATCGTTTTTATTTTTCATTTGTCTATTATACCTATCTGTCGTATGAGATATATAAAGCAGTCTATGACGCCCGAGGGCATAATGGTTTGTCATCTCATCTCATTATGCCCTCAAACGGCCTGGCAAATATATTGATGGAGTTATATTATGTGATAAAGAAAGGTGCTATTGCTACTTGATTCGTATGAAGCACTTTAATGTTGGTTAATAATAATCCATTACATTTGTATATTAGAAATGCATTAATTGGAACGATGAAAAATAAAATTTTGTATGCCCCTCAGGCATTACTCGATATTTAACTCTCGAGCGACTTTCAATCGCTTGGGTCGGCGGCCCTCGGCATAAATATTGCCTTAATGCCCTTAATGCATAAATATCTATTTTGTTATATCTGTGATAATCGCTGTTTAAAACACACCTGAGCGAGTGAAAAAGGCAATTAAAGCACGCTGAGTTTAAAAGGTTTCTAAGTAACGTTAATATAACATAAAAATATGGGTAATCTTTCTCTGAAATAAAAAATCCTCTCAGATCGCTTTCTGCAAATGCATATTGGCTCGTATCCTTTGTTGGAAGCTTTCAAAAACGCCCTTGGTTTATAGTAGGTATGCTGCCAAATCTTTTAGTCACAGTATTGATTGAAGTTTTGAATGAAAGCACCAAAGGGTTAGGTAGAAGATTTAAATACCTTTGATATTTCCTTTATATATGCTAGCAATTGTTTGAAAGATGCTTCCTATTCATCCACATCAACAAACTTTCATATTCTTTATAATACGCTTTTGCAGGTATAAACTTTTTCTGCTTCTGCATCAAGCCACTGAATGGCATGTGTATTATCTTCTACAACCAAAGACAATGATTTTTCTAAGCAAACATAAAGTGACATTTCCATGGCAATCATGGAATTATGAATAATCGGCCCACTTAAGTAGAAATGTATTTGAGTATACCGTCAATATGATTCCATTTTATTTCCCTGATTTTTAAATTATATTGCAGCTATAATAAAAGATTATACAAGAAATCTGTTGTGCATACTTTAAAGACTCTTAATATACTATTTCCAATGACAATTTTGCACTTCCAAGTGTTCTAATGTTTTATTCAAATTGATAACGAAAGATACGAACGCATGCAAGTGGGAAGAAACAATGGGTGTAAATAGCATGTGTGAGGGTGCATGAGATCAGCTTTTTTATTATTTTGAATGGCCAAGATATACAATGCCCCTCACTACAATTATCACCAGCTGCAACAATGTTTCGCGCACCCCAGAGAGTCCCTGAACACTAAACTTTGTAAGTACTAAGTCATACATTTTCCATAATTATAACTTAAAAAAGGAATTATAATTTCTCTAGATAAAGCAAAACAATTACGCGTCTAACAAAAATATGGCACAGTTTATAGTATTATTTCTAACAAAAATTGCTTCGTCACCATTACCAACATTTACATTAGGTAATATTTACATATAGAGTAACAAAAAATTTAACTATATTAAGTAACTACGATATATTGCAAAATTCCGATTCACATCCAATATCTCTAGTCAACTGGCCATCCCTCAATAAATTATTAACAACTGCTCTGGCCAAGTATCCCATGCATTGTACGTTTGACGTTTCAAACAAGTAGGAGACTCGAATGTCTTGAAGCTTATTATCCTACGAAACCATTAAGTAGGCGACATCTACGAATTTTTGGGGGTCTTACCTTTGCAAACATATGCGCTGAGTCTTTAATTAACTGTTCCAAATCGAGCGGTTGGTTAAAACTAAGTTCAGGATTTCGAGTTAAAATAGTAGAGACAATCGATAGTAACTCTACAACTAATTGGCGGTATTCGGGCATTTGTATTTGATTCAACATCTAAAATAATACTAAAGCTATTCATCCAAGCACTACCGGCAATTTTAACCTGTTCTACTAATAGGGCGAAGGTGATTTCCGATCTGGCCATGTTAGACATCGTCGGTTGTTGTGGAATAATATTTCCCATAACCTTTATTCCTTGAGGTGTGCGAATCATGACGTCCCAAACTTGGTTGTAAAACGAACTTGGAACACGACATAGACAGCCTTCAATTGTGCGCTTGTGCAAGGGAGTCAGTCTAAAAGTCAAATATGAATCATCCAAGCTTTATTTCGAAACTCACTTTTCCTTATCTGCCCAGTCCTTAACAGATAAAACTTTATTGATTAGTTGCCTAACTTCATATGGACTATGGTCTTCGATCAGTTTGGCGTTTCCACTGAACTTGAGATATAACCTAAGCGCCTGCAGCACCCAACCGACTCGAATTTTGAAAATGCCCCTGAACATCTCCGGATCGGTAGAAATCAGCCGGCCACAATACAATATAACTTCTTGCTGCAGAACTGCCTGAATTACATCGTAAGGTTGTATGGTATCATATATGACCCGCTGTATTTCCGTTGGAGTCATCGGTTTATCGAAGACCGTCTCTTTCTGATCGATCACACCAACCGTCAACTAGATGAATTATAGTGTAGATCAAGGCGAGGTAAAGATAAATCGTACCTGTTTACCGTGTACAAGAACGGCGGTAATAAAAGGACTGATAGAATCTACGGTATGGTGTAATAAACTGCTTGTGTACCGCACGGCCGCCCAATGTCTCATACCACCCGCTCTGTTATAAATTTGTTGGAGGTGCGCCATAACTGTTACATGTCTAATTTCAAAATGTTCCCCTTCTCGTTGCAGGATGAACCCGTACAATTGGCACTGAGCGTAAATATTGTCGTTGTGCAGTATTTCTTCGATAATATCATTTGTTGATTTATGTTGGAATGACTGAAATAATGATTTATGATTAGAAAACTATTTAGTACATTAAACCGCGATCTAATTGGAATTAAACATTTTGAGAGTTGAAACTAACACTTTAAACCTGCTCAATATAAATCTCTGATTATAATGATAACGCTGCACTAGATAGGTATACAACAGCCTAATGTTGTGTGCTAGTGTTTGTTTGCAGAATAAGTTGGCATTGTTCAGAGAGACTGTGCCTTATGCAAGCATATTCTGTAATTAAATATCGAGAAATTTTTACCTACTTCTTCATGAAACTATACATTCAATATTTTGTTAGAAGAATGGCACACCTCTCTTTCTTGTTCGGGAAGAATTAAATGTACTATTATGATCTTATTTTAACCTCAATTTTTCTGGAGAAAAGCACTTTTCTTTATCAGAGTGTATTTATTTTATAGCATATGTTAAATGGACATTTTAATACTGGGTTAAGCTGCTCTTTAACCGTGAGAATAGATAAAGTGAAACAAATGATTATGCCTTCTAATGAAATCATGTCATTCCTATTTCAAATGTGACGCGGAGCACGATATAAAATGACGTTCAGAACATATGAGGCTATTTCTATGGAAAGGGCCGCGACGGCGAAAATTATTCAAATTGAAGAAAGTGGAGTGCAGGACATCGAAATAAATGAACGGATAGTCAGTGCAGCAAAAGTATATCACGCAATCAAAAGTACCATCATAAGAAAACGAGAAATCTCAAGAAACACAAAAATGAAAGTATACAAATCTATTTTTCGACCTATACTGACATATGGCTGCGAAGGATGGATACTGGACAATAGAACAAAGAGCAAAATACAATCTCTGGAAATGAAATATTTAAGGGCAGTGAAAGGTATAACTAGATGCGACAGAATCAGAAATTCGGACGTACGCGAAGAATTAGGAATTAAATCGATGACCGAATTTATTGAAAATAAACAACTTGGATGGTGGGGACATTTACAGAGGATGCACAATCAATCACAGGTTAAACAGGTGTGGGAAGCTAAACCACAAGGAAGAAAGCGAAAAGGTCGACCAAAGAAAACGTGGGATGATGTGATTGCAGAGATAATTACAACAAGAGGATCAACCTGGAGGGAGGCAAAACAAACGGCGTTGGATAAGAAAGCTTGGTTCAAATTTATAAACGATTAATGCTTATTTAGATATTGTACTATATTTGTAGTATACCCCGTACACCGAAAGGTAAACACGGGTTTTTGATTATATATATATATTCAAACAAGCCAATTTATGTGAGTATTTATTAGAGTGATCAAACGAGAGCATCACGTTTTTGAGTTTCAACTTATAAGAGGAGATAAAAAACCAACTTTCCACAAGGTAAAGATATTTAAAAGTTTATTTATTACAGAGCTAGCCGTGGTATTAATTATTATATTGCAAAAGATTAATTGTTACAGTAAAATTGCTAACCCCTCTAAATGTAACTTGCCCGTTACAGGCGGCTGCGCCGGCTCACGTCACATCCCGGAGGGGACGTAAGCTTGGTTTCAGCCAGCCGTCTCACCTCGCCCACGTTTACTACATCAGAAACAGTAGCGGACACGCAGGACAACCAATTACATTTCATTCTCAAAGGTGCTAAAAAGGATTTTTTGCCTTGAAGTTTCATACTCGAAGTTATGACTACACCATTATATATTTATATATTATATATTTATGGAGATGCGCAGCTCCGCTGAACACCCGGTATATAAAGGCGTTTTAAGTTAGGCGCTTCGTTACGAAAGTGTTGTGCTGAAAGTATTTGTGTTGGGTCTACGACTTGAAGATACATAGAATCTAAAGGTAATTGACTTAATTTCAGCCACCGCTACCGTAATTAACGCTGCAAATTGCAATTAATCCGCCTGCCGTTTGTAACCGTTCTCTTCCAGATATTTTAGTGGGTTTTACTGCGTCCGAAAGATCTTGTATTTTAGAAGAAGAGGGCAAAATAATGTATTAGAATTTCAACCATGATAAGCCATTATTAGCAGGTTTTGTTTCCTATGGTAAATTAAAACAAGAATTAGAACTGTAAGGCCATGCATGTGTAGTAGTTTCTCGACATTCAAATTAACAATGGGTATTAATTGGAATTAACAATAGGCATTCATTGGAATACTGATTCGGAAAATTTTAATACGCCCAATTAAGTGAATGAAACATCATTCGATTGGGGCGTGCCAAATTAAAGCACGCTTAATTAAGAAGAATTATGACCCCTGGTCACGCAATTAAATAAAAAGTTTTCATTCTTGAGTCGATTTGTCTTTGTTGCTTTCATTCCCGCTAGGGAGTGTCTCATATTTTTGTTGTAGTTTTTCCGAAGTGACCACAGTCAGTTGCTGAACTCGTACGATTCCTGGAGTTGCAGTTTAGTCCGGTTCAGCTTGCCCGAGGTTTCCGAGACCGATCTGCCGAACCGCTGCTACCGTCGACCTTGACCAAGGGCGAGGCCAAACCCTTGGTGGCGCTCGAGTCCGTCCGTCCGCCACTACCACTACGTTTGTTCGCTCCCATGAATTATTTATTATACTTTGTACAATTATTAGTTTTCTTTTAAATTAAATTAAAATTCCGCTAATGATTATTTAATATTAAGGCCCACCGATTGTGAGCAAACTACCCCACGTTCATCGTAAGATAAGTACACAAATTTTAGTCCTCTTTCAGCGCGAATATAATCTAATTGTAAGCAAAAAACCAAGTTCTAGATTCAACTCTCAAAGAAAGAGATTAAGTTGCAGTAAATGTTTATATGCTACTCAGTATGCCGAATAGAGGCTGTGCGCAAATTCTAAACTTTCCCATATTTATCTCAAGGTCAACACCTACAAGGTCTGGTAATCTGTAAGCTACGTACTGCATAATTCTTTAATTCTCCTTGGTTGTCAATGATCCTAGGTACATCAGTCAAGCTCTGGTAACCAATGTAATCATGTTCCAGCTGCTGAAACTGAGCAAACTTCTGATACGGCATATCCAAAACGCTCATAAAATCCAAATGTTCTGAAAAATCAGGCATTAAACTGCCATCAAATCAAATAAAGTATTACCAACGCAAGAACTTGATATTAAATTTTGCAATCTACCAATTCGCACCTTGACACCGTCACAATAGCCCTTCTTAAGCATTGCTAATAAATCCAACATTTTTTTAAACTGCGGATCTCGCATGTGCTCCTCTCGTATTAGGAGACAGACAGTTGGCCGTCCTGACAGTCTCCAGTAACGACCAACAAACTGCAATTCAGTTTTTATATCGTCGATTAGAAGCGCCATGTCACGATATAGATAGAAATCGGACACTTCAAATATCAGAGGGTAGCACAGAACGGTCATTCCACATACTCTGTACACCTGAAACAAACCTGACTAGAAAAAAAAAAAAGGGGAAATACTTAACACCCACCTTACTGGTACCTAGACTTCCGATTGGTCTAACCGGCCGGCCGTTCAAGTTAATTTTGTGATTCACACCCAAGTGTTGATACGCTTCCACTAGTTGAGTCGAGGACCAAATCTGTACAGGCTCAACCTCGTGAGGCGTTTGCGTTTGTATTCCGTAAGTGGCCATCATTGCTTGAAGACGCATCGATTCCGCTATTAAAACAATTTGTACTACCAAATCCGTTGCAGTTCCCTAAGTGATATAAAAATTTTAATCGGAAATTGTAGGTATACTGTGATTGATAAACTATCACATTTACCAATCACGCTAATATGAAAAACTACGTTACACAGGCATGATAGAGAATGTCATTCAATAGTTTTGTATACTCTTTATTAGACATACTATGAGCAAAGACTTTTATTAGTGTTAAAGTATTTTGATCCGAGCATTGGTAGGTATGTGAAAAATCAGGCTATGATTGATGTATAAGCGACATAATGCAAAACTTTAAGCAATTGATGTTTTATACCTTTCACATTAGATTTAAACATAATTTATATAAAAAACAATTTTGAGATTGAGGTTGTAGATAAGTTTGACTTGTTTACTACTGATACACAGCTTTATGTTTTAATTTTCAAATGAAAATGCTCTATGGGCATTTTCCTCCTAGTATGAGACAACATTGTCAGTAATAGCTTAAAATGGAACTGCCACCATTATCTACTAAATCTAAACCCCGTAAAGGTAGAAGAGAAAAACTAAAAAATTTAAACAGCAGTTTACATAAGCTCCTCGAAAATAAGTATATGTTATATTGCAACCCTTCCAAACAGAATAATGTTGTCAATTAACAAACAGGTAACAAATAAATATTTGCGAGCCGTTCAGTCGAGATTTGTATATCCAAAAGCTGCTAAAAATTGAATGATGGCTAATAGAATAGATCACATGTCTGTGGTGGATGTATTCTTTTCCGTTTTATTTAAGTTAATTAGTTTCCACCTCCAGTATGTGAATGTAGATTCTACTACCTACCATAGTGTACTACTTCTATGACAGTTAGGAAATGTTGTTGAAATGAAATTATTATAAAAAGAGTTTAAAAAGCCAAGCGAAGACTGTACATTACTTACAACTGATGGTTTTGCCTGAAGCGTCATGGAAAATATAAAAAACATAACTATATTAATTATTATTATAATCTTCACACCAATTGTACGCTATTTATAAGGTTTGCCATAACAGGTTGACACATATTTTAAAAATCGACACTGATGCGAGTGAAAAATAATTAACAATACCCTGTATTTTTGGGCATATCAAATCAACATGTTATATGGAACCTTATCAATTGAAATAAAGCAAAAAATGAATGATTTTAGACACTTCGCGTAGTGTTCTAATCATTTGACTGCAATGTATTTCACAATTAAAACATTCACGGATGATACTTCAAAATGAACATACCTGAAATGCGGAATATCTCCCACCCTTTCGAGGCCTATTATACGACGGTAAATAACGACGGATCGGATCTAATTCGTTAATGTGCAATAAATTCGCCGTTAGAAGCTGCGCCAATACGAACAGCGCCTGATTCCACAGGTACAAGCCGGAATCTGGTGCGGGTCTGCGGGATGTCGAATGCGGTTCCAGTCGTTCCTGCTCTATGTAATCTTCCGGCACGTAGTAATACATTGGAATGATGGGATCTAAGAAATTTCATTAGAGATGCTTTTTGTAACTACCATCGGACATATTTGCCTCCGTACTGGTCGACGAGCATTCGCGCCTTGAGCAAGTCTTGATATTCTTCTATTTGTTCGGGTAGAGATTTGAAAACGCCATCGATTATCATAAATATATAAAAGAGTGGCCATTCGCACTCGATATTTTCGAAGTTTTTTATTTCGCCAACCTTGTAATATCTGGAAGGGGGATAGAGTTAAATAATTTTTGAAGAATTTGTACAAGTTAAATAGATTGCATAATAGATAGAAAAGCTGATTGATTGCGATGCAGATAGTGACTACTTTTTAAGGTTGGAGTCAAAATAAAGGAGACTACCTGCAAGAAAAAATTGACGTAATTTTTCCGGAAAATATGACGTGTTTGTTCGAGAACATTCTAGAAAAACTCGGAAGTGTTCGACAACTATCGAGAAAAAAGGGGGGTTTGCTATATAAACAAATCGAATTGCGTCAGTCGTTTCCAATTGCAATGCCGAAGTAATAAATAGTTCGTGCTATTTCATTTCAAGACTGTTATCAATTTTTTGTTAATTAGTTAAAATAAATAAACCATAATAATAGTAATAATACCAAGACGTAACTTAAAAAAAAAGACACATTCATTACAATTTTAAACCTTTTTTACCTTCTGTTGGGGTCTTCAATAGCTGTCTTAAATCCATCTCTATTATACCTTTTGAAGCCATAATCACCCTTCAACTTTCGTATAATATTATTCTTTGTTCGCCCGTAAAGAGATTCTTCATGTGAAGCAAAAGCCGGAAAGGAAATGGTTGGTAGTAGAGCAGCGTCCACTTCCTAAATGACCTTAATTTATTCTTACGTATGAACTCACAACGTACCTTTGAAGATGACTCTCTTGGTAACATAGTTTCGAATATACTTCGATTTCGATTGTGAGCGTCGATATCAACGTACACCACACTCCAAGAAGCTCCTTTCTCGCCAAATAAGTTACAGCCATTGATCGCTTCTAAAGCGGACTTCGCCATACCGATCGAGCTCGCATGAATTTCGGTCATTCCGTTATTGTACTTACTACCCCTTTCCCATATTCCATAATCGGGGGTACGGTATGCGCGTTCCACGTAATAAACCAAATTTTGTACGAAGGCAACCTCGTCCTAAACAGCATCTCGAACAGTTAAACAAAATAGGGCGGTTTGTGGTTTACCTGCGTGTAAATAATCTGTAAGCCGGACGTTATCATCTGAACCAAGAATATTAAGTAAACGGAAATTGCGTCAATTTGTAAATGGGGGTATTCATCATCGGTGTACACTTCTTCTCCTTTGGTTAGGTGGAATTTAACGTGTAACGAATGAGCGTCGCATTGCTTCAATTTAAATAGTTCGATTCTGGCCGCTTGTTTTATCCAACACTGCAATATACCGCGCATACATTTTACGGCGGATTGGCCTAGTTCGTAGGATTTCCCTCGATCATCATCGATTCGCCTATATAAAGTAACGAACAATTAGATGGTTATGGTTTGTATCTAAACGATATTGAAACACAGATTTGGAATGGGCCCTTTTTCTTCTCAGGTGTGCCAGGAGTTTCTAATATTGGAAAGCTAGGACTTAGCCTAAAGCTCTTTGGGCGGATAGGCAGGGTGTAATAGCGCTAGCCAAACCAATTATAGCGGTAGGTGTACAGCTCAATCTAGTGACAAAGGAGTAAAATGAGTGGAACAATTTATTGATGTAAGCTATCCCGAATAGACTGCTATTTGCAATTTATTTATTTATTGCCCCTCTCTTGTTGTGGGCTCTCAACATGCTTTCGCCCAATTACAGAGTGACCCGCATAATGTTTTTTAGAGGTGCCCCTCCAGAAGGTCTTAAGTTGTTCTATACTACTCCGGTATTTACCTTACAAATTAGGAAAACTGCAGGAAAACCTAATTCGGAGTAGCCGGCAGAATGCTGGAAACTGATCTAAGGAAATTCCCATCTCTCCCACAAATGAAAAATTCACCTCAACCCAGGTTCCAACACCCGACCTTCCGGCTATGAAGCCCAACGTTCTACCCACCTCTAAGTTCGATGAAAGGCCATATTTCGGTAGTTGGGCTGGGGTGCGAGATGCGATACAAATAATATGTAATTTTTATAAATAAATAGATCTATCCATCAGAAACAGGTCTGTTCACCTGAAACAGGTCTGTTCATCAAAAATAGGCCTGTTTATCAGAAACAGATCTAGACCCATTTAAAAGACATGTCTCCGTTGAATTTGTGTTCAGGTTAGGGATCTTGTTCCGTATTCAAAGAGGTCAACGAAACGTGACCTTGAACTTAACGCATGCGCAGATGTCAAGGTCAAGGTTATTATTTCTATTCAATCTCGCACCCAGGACCAACCAATGAAATATGATCTCGCACCCCGGATTAACTGCTGGAATACAACCTCGCACTCTGGGCCAACTGCCAAAATATAACTCCGCACCCCGGGCCAACGATTCTACGATTAACATTAATAAACTTATTATTATTATGATCTCGTACACCGGGCCAATTGCCAAAATATGACCTCGCACTAAAAACTGCCAAAATTAGCATCGTTGCTTGACTGTAGATAATAAATTAATTAATAGTAAGAAACAGCGCGTGAAGTAGCATACGTGTGGTCCGGCCCGAGATATTTACGAGAAAACGTATCATAAAAAAATTATCTATTATCGCGAACTGATTAGAATTATTATTACTTTAATAAAGGGTGCGAGTATAACAATGGAATTCGGAACAGAACTAAAATAAATAGCGGGTTATATTTATATAAGATACTTTTGAAGTAAGCATTTTTGTCTAGAAAAGATATCAGTTTCAGGGGACTCGTTGGGGTTTAACTGTACCTACCTGCATCAGCCATACAAATTGGGGTGTAGCCAAGGGTGGGCAATGGCGAGTTGCGACTACCAGTTCCGTAGTCTTATATTTGAATAATTAATTTACATACAGAGTTTATCTTGAGACAGTCGATTATTGCGGAAACTAATGGGGATATCAAAAAATGATTTATATAAAATTTTCTTCAAAGGGAGGAGCCCATTTAATGCTGCTATGCACATTTTCACATAACTGTCCCTTAAGGGTCAATGTAGGGGAACTTAATTTTTTAAAATAGTACCTCGTAGAACCCTATACTTTTTGTTGAATATTCTTATTCTCCAGTGGAAAATAATAGTATAATAAAAATGAAAGGTAACCTACTATCAACTAAGGAATAATTATGAAATTGAGTTCAGAGGTAACAAAGCCTTTTTCTGGCCAAGACTGTTTCTTGCATGCTAAACGTTACTGTTTTCTACTTCCTCAGTCTTCCTTGCCAAGATTAGTCAGAACATTTCCATATCTTTGTGGGCGCGTCTTTCCTTGCAAAGTGTTCCGAAGACTCTCGAAACGAGAGTTCCTAAAGTCAAGTTCCGGAAAGACACTTGAGATGTAAAGTTAAAATTTTACTGTTTGAATGAGAGCTGTACCTCTGGAAGTAGTAGGTTGCTAATCAGCTTCAATACAACCTAAACTAAATAAAATGTTATCTTTTATTTACTTAATGAGAAGCTCCTTTTGGGTTTTTGTTGAAAAAAAAATTGAAAATAGAACTCCTGCAAACATTTACAGGAATTTGCAACAAACAAGGTCACCTTTTGTGTCTGGCCTTGTCTGGGAAAGTAGAATTTAAATTCTCTATCTACCTGCCAATACAATCGAGAACTGTATACCTACCCACGTGTCTATGGGCCCTCTAGGCTGTAGCATTCAATAATACAATATAATTAATTATTGCACGATAATGCACTGGTAAAAGTAAGTTGGAAGAGGTAGAAATAATGCAAAAAAAAAGGTAAAGGATCAGCGCTTAAGGGTTCAAATGGAGGTACACACTCAAGTTAGTTTTTGAAAAACTGCAGGTGTCTGTCTGAATGAACGCAACACTTACATCGACTTTAAATAAAATACACAAAATAAACGTGCAAGTTACCGGTAGGCTTGATACAATCCCCATACGGCCGCAGCACAATAAACGCTTTCTCGGACACTACCAACTTCCGTATCCGTCGAGTGTACAGGAAACAATCCAGTTATGGGACTTTGAAATCGTAATAGCTGCCGTTTAACTGCACATTTCCATTAAAAGAATGTATGTAACGACAAATTGAAATTACTTTACCCATTCCATAGTAAATATCAAGTTGACGAACGGTTTCCTCGTAGTTTGCCACTTTTAGGAATTGCTCGATTCTCAGTCTATCCTCCAACGAACTGGTCTCTCTGAGAAGCCTAAAGTACACTGCGTTAATGAAAAATACTGCCAAGTGTATATAAATAACTCGCCTTTTATTAGCTAACATTTTAAAATTTATTTTTGTTTTGAATTTGTGAAAGATTTTTCAAGGGCAGACGAAAGTTAGGTTAGGTTGTTGTTCCAAAACATAAAGGAGGTCACTTTGGAGTAATCAGCGTAATGGATAACGAAAATTCCAACGAAGAATTAGATAATCAGCAGACAACTCTTGGGCAACCATTGAGCGATTTTCTTCTACAACTGGAGGACTATACTCCTACGGTAACCTCTTTGCTGAAATTCGGCTCATAATAAAAGCCATTTAAGATTCCAGATGCAGTCACAGCACACTTCTTGCAAAGCTCCGGATTTGAACCTAAGGATCCACGCCTCTTAAGATTGATTTCTATTGCTGCTCAAAAGTTTATATCGGATATAGCAAATGATGCTTTGCAACATTGCAAAATGCGATCCAGTAATAATACCAGCAGCCACAGCACTTCCAAGGTAACTTGGATCACAAATTCTTTTCAATTTTTACTCATTACATGTTACAGGGAAAAGGGTCTAAAGATCGACGGTATTGTTTAACAATGGAAGATCTCACCCCTGCACTAGCCGAATTCGGTATTACAATTAAAAAACCGCAATACTACGTGTAAGATGGGTGTATGCAAAATGAAGAAAATACATGGGATTTACTCGTGTTTATTTTTTGAATATAATAGCTTTGAAACTTCACTTATATCTAAATCTTCAGCGGAAGGAATGCACTTATCATTAAAATTTTTAAATTCCTTTAAATATTGTCGCCTTTCGCATTTTGTGCTATCTGTACAATTACAATCCCGCGAAGAATTCTTCGTAATCGTGTATAGCTGCTTAGAAATCTTTCGCTGAAGTGTCGTCTCGTCCGTAATAGTATTTATGTCATTAAAATCCGGAGTCATACATAAGTTTATACTGGGGTAGATAATAAATCCAAAGATTAACAAGGAGGTGATAATGAATATCGGTACCGCAATAGCCCAATATCTTTGAGGGAGACATGTTATGTTTAAGTATTTGAACCACGATTCGGGAACCACTGCCCAAATTACATATAACACGAAAAATACTTTAAAACTCAGGTATAATGCGAAGCCATACACTGCCCGATGTGGAGTTGGCGCGGGAGTATGTTCCGGCATCTTATTCGCCATTAACAATAATGGGAATAACACTCGCTTGTAGGGGGCCCAAAGTGCTCAAAAGTCTGTACGATCAGAATGATATTTTCAAAAAAACTATTCACAGCGGTACGTATTTGTCTTGCTAACTCTGCACAGAATTTTCTAAAACGAAGATGATATCAGCGTAACTTGATTAAAATAAAGGGATATACTCACACGTTTAAGTTGCTACCATTCAGTGATAATGACTTGGTAACACCACTTCTCTTGGGTTCGGTATCCACACGTAGAACTTCAAAAGCTATTTGCGCTACACGGGGAGATGGAAAAGGAATACTTACATTGCTAAACTCCTAAGTCAAAGAAAATAGTGTTCAGTGTTGAAGGAATTTGTTCAAAAAGGATACACGATGTGTAATTTTTCTTCATCATACATTTTTTACTGTATTTAGAGAACTAATAACTGCAAAAATTTAAATAGAAATCAAATTGAAAATTTTAAGGTTATCTGTCTGCATGTCATAGAACAGCAGACGTGTAGCGGCGGTGTTGCCACTTGAATTTTAATTCTTTGCAGTCCACTCTCCACTGGCAATCGCTCTACATATGTATTTATTCGGATTGTTTCTTCGAAAGATATATTTTTTATTTCCTATTTTAAATAGAATTGTATAACCATTTGCAATTCAAAATAAGGTTGTTTCCCTAATTGCAAATTCCCTAATTACCAAGTTTTGAAAAAAAACGAATAGTAAAGGTAAGTTCATAGCTCTACGTTCATACGTTTCCGTTTGTCCGTTAGCCAATCAGAAGACAGCAAATTTTTAAATCGTACGTCGTCCGTTTACGACGGAAAAGTTGGTTGAAGTTGAACATTTACGTTTCCGTTGGTCCGTTTTTAACAAGAGTGAGGTTATGTTTGGTACGTTAACAGTATTCGCCTATTCGTTCTTCACAGTAATAATCAGATAGCAACGTGTTTTTACTTTCGTATCATTTTTACATACTGAAAATCACAGAGGGTATAGTACAAAATAAAATTTAGGTTATGGTTATACGTTGCAAATGTACAATGTGGACGGATTGCTATGAACCTTAACAAAATGTACTATGCGTTTGACGGATCAACGCAACGGATGAACGGAGAGCTATGAACCCACCTTTAGTTATAACACATTACACATTACCCACACGTTTCTCTTACAACAAATTCTTCACAGTTATTATTAAAAATATTGGCATCTAAAGGTTTTACATAATCACTTGAACATCCCTAATAAATAACGGGGTGGGCACGTGGCATAATACCAGCTAATCGCAACAACTTTCCAAATATCCATTCCCATTTGAATTTTAGTGAAAGCACTTTGTACTTGTTATGTTCAACAACAATGCTTTGTGAATGCGGCCACTGACCATTTGATTTGAAGGTTATAATTTATTTATTGTCGATTTGACAGTTGTTTGTTTGTTAACTTTTTTGTGTATTCTATTAAAAAACCAAAAATAATAGATTATGGTAGCATTACTCATTGTTGTAGTATTACGCCTGACCTAGTTCGGAATGAGTCACGTCTTAATCACTAGACACAAGGTTATGTTGATATACAATTCATTATGCAAAGAAGTGACATAAAAAATGAGTAAACATACGTTTGATTATGGTATTCTAGTGCAAAATGCGCTAGTAAAAGACTTACAGAATAAACCTCAAAATCAACGTACAGCCTTGTTGGGGTTAATTGTTAAAATAGAAGGTGTGCTCGGAAACAAAACGTTTGCAATTCGTTTCCTTAAAAGCGACAATTCGGAACATTGGGAGAGTAACAAGTTTTGTTGTGACCAAAGTATAATAGTACCTGTAAATGAAAACTTGTGGCCCTATTTAGCATCTGTCAGCTCGCCACAAGAGAGAGTTTTACTGGCAAAGAACCCAAATCGCTGCGAGCAGTTGATGCAAACACCTATCAATGGTGTTGTGGGCTTTTTGGATTTTGGACAGGTTTTACTTGGCACAATTAAGTTTAAAGGGAACATTAAAGGAATAGGTAAAGGTTTTGGAATTCAGCTCTACGTGAGTAAGTGACGATTTTTGGCATTAGTTGTCATGTGTGTTTTTAGGAAAAGAAAATTAATAACAACTGCAACGGTACGTGTGCAGGAATACAGTATTTTGAATGCCTTCCGGGTTTTGGAATTTTTACGACTATTGAGAGAATTGTTCCAAGAAATGTGGAATGTGCAACAGTGAAGTCTGCGAGAAAGTTATCCGCAACACTTCTGGATAATTTTACAGAAAAGAATGTAGCCGATATCAGTATTAATTTAAAGGAGTGCGATGCTCAGAAAAAGAATCACATCTCGGAATCAAAATTTAAAAATGATACTCAAACGCAAAATAGATTTCGAACATCACATTCTATGCAAAACATCCTGGACCCAAAATCCACAAGCACGAATGCCAATAACGATTTTGATCAGAATACAATAATTCAGCCGGACAATACCAACTTGATACATGAGGGAGGCAGCAACAAAATTGATATGCATAGGACAGAGATTGATCTCATAGACGCTATCGGCGGAACGTGGTCTGATACTTTGAATCATAAAGAGTTGGAGAGGCCTCATCTCAAAAAGCCGTACGAGAAGACGTCTCGAAGCGAGTTTTACGTACCCTGTGATACAACGCATAGCGCACTCAATGTCACACCGACAAAGCCGAGGAATAAAAGTATTAATCCGGTTTCGCATTTAATAAATGGTAGCAAAACGGTTCCCAGAAAGGTGAAGTTCTTTCAGGAGCCCGAGAAAACTGTAAATAAATCTGCAATAGGAAGTAAAAATGGGGAAGTCGATATCAGTAAGTAAATGCATATTTTACCTTGTTATGATTGCGTGAAATGGAACTGCTTAATACTGCAAAGTAGGTGTAAAAAATTTGATGATAATAATAATGTATATGTTTAGTGCTGATATACAGAAACGTATTTACACACGTCAAATTAGCATATTAGTACTGAATATTGATAATTTTGAACTATCAATATAAATACCAACGTGAAACAAAGTGGCATCTACACTCAGGTCATGTGACCCCCCACCCTCTCCCTGCAAATTACTTATGAACTACACGTTTTATAATCGAATTGCCTACAAATGTATGGGAGGTAAAGAATAGACCCCGGGATAGTAGAGATAAATGGAATACGCCTTTTCCTGGGGGGGTTAATCAATTTTCAATCTCTTTGCAATTTTGTTAACCTATCACCTACTCCAAGAGTTCTTGTTTATTTAAAAATGTTGGAACAATGTCCATTATTTTCTTGTTCCACACCTACAGACAATTTTGAAACAAGTTCATGGCCAACTACAGATGTAGAAATTTTCATTTCTTTCAGTCAGTTATCTTTTTTGAGTTACGATATAAAATTTTATTTTTTCTGGTTGCAACCTATAATCATAGCCAGCTGTAATTTGATTAATGCCATTTCTTATTACTCTAACAATATACAGGGTGGTGCATCTGCAACAATCCATCTTTAATAAATGAGCAACAAGATCTGATACTGCCAGGCAATTTATGCAATTATTAAACACATGACTTATCGAGGGGGATGTATTTCGCTATGATTTTCATTTGTTTTCCCCCATTTACTTTATATTTGACAAGTAGTTAAATGACCAATAATTTTCATTTTCATTACTTATATAACTAAAAACGCCAGACATATTATGAAGCTTTGATACACCAATAGGCCATGACTTAGGGAAGAAGTGGGTAGACTTTGAGTTTTGTGGGTCTACTTGATCTTGGTTGATTTTGCGACTCTGGTCTTAGGATTCTTCACTACCTACTGTCTGTGCCACTTACTTTATCATTGTCATTGAATGAGTTATATCAAGGGGATACCTCAACTCTAGACAGTCGAGACATTTTTGTACTTATTCACTTGTGGTGTTTAACATTTTCAATATTAAAATTAAAACTGACGTAAAAAAGTTACGCAACACAATTTCCTGTTTTAGCATTAATTTAAAGATAATTAAATTTGTTTAAATTGAGACCGCCGTGCGTCAATTTATTTTGTACACATACTTACACCATTTCAGTATAAAAATAACTGTATGACTGGAAGTCTAACATTCACACTTACAATTTTTAGAATATCTATTTTTAAATTATTTGCATGTGTTCGGTGTTTATAACCTGGATGCCCCCTTTACGGATGAACTAAGTGGCGTGCGTCGAGTGAAAATGGCAATTAACGGCAAAAACGCAAATTATTACAGTCTTCCTGTGAACCCAAAGCAACTGCACAGAAAAAAACCGAAAATCAACTACTATTACGATTACGAAGATGATTTTAATATACCGTTATCTGTCGTAGAATTGAACCGAAGCAATCCCGATGTGAAAGCTTCTCCCACGGTACCAATTCACTATAATTCGCCGACACCGGGTACAACGAACGACTTGACTGTCGGAAGTTTGGTGGAAATTATTAATACTCTGTCACCGGACCCGTTGTATGGCGTTATCCGATGGTTGGGAATTGAGCCCAACAGTTCGGAGGTGTTGGTGGGAGTGGAATTGGAAGAAGAACAAATTCATCTACCCCTAAAGTTAGCGGATGGTACCCACAATGGACAAAGACTCTTTGAGTGCGCCGAGAATAGATCAATTTTCGTTCCTTTAAATCAGTGTCACAAAGATCCGCGCTTCGCAGAACGAACGCAAGTACAAACTCAGCATGTCCCGGAGAAAGTGTTTGGAGTCGAGGTTTGTAGTTTCCGCACTTACATTGGATCTTATTGTATTTCTTAGGTCGATTGTCCTATTGTTAAGGGAGCGGTTGCGCCATTATGTATGCCGACTGAGGAAGACGTCGAAGCAGTCTGCGGTAAATTCAGAGGCATCCAAGGACATCATAATTCCTGCTACCTAGACGCCACTTTATTTGCAATGTTCACATTTACGGCGGTCTTTGACAGCCTATTATTCAGGCCGAAAGGCCCCGGTGATATACCGTACTACGAAGAGGTGCAACAGGTCCTACGGGAAGAAATCGTAAATCCGCTCAGAACAAATTTGTTTGTTAGAGCTGATCGGGTTATGAACCTTCGCAAATTACTAGATCAATTTAGTTCCGTATCCGGACTGACTAGTGAGGAAAAGGATCCGGAGGAATTTTTAAATTCGTTATTAGCGCAAATTTTGAAAGCTGAGCCTTTTTTAAAGCTGAATTCCGGTCAAGAAACCTACCATTATCAGTTGTTTGTGGAGAAAGATGACGGTTTGACATTGCCAACCGTTCAGCAGCTGTTTGAGCAAAGTTTTTTAACCAGTGATATTAAATTAAAGGAAGTTCCGTCGTGTCTTATAATCCAAATGCCAAGATTTGGAAAGAATTTTAAAATGTATCCCCGCATATTACCCTCACAAGTTCTCGATGTAACGGACGTGATCGAAAATTGTAAGTTCTCTTTTATTCCATTTCCGTAATTATCAAATCATTTTAGCTCCTCGTCAGTGTACAGTGTGCGGTAAGGTGGCAAAGTGGGAGTGTAAGGAATGTTTCGGAGAGTGCGGTGAGGGATTGGAGAGCACCGCATTTTGCACTCTTTGTATAGAAAAGGTTCATTCCCATAGTCGTCGCCAGTCACATTCACCAAAGAAGATATCAGTATTACCAGACTTTTCTATTATGGCCGATCATTGTCAACCTCCTCGATTGTTTATGGAGTTGTTTGCAGTTATTTGTATTGAAACTTCACATTATGTCGCGTTTGTTAAGTGTGGAGTCGGACATGAAGCGCCATGGTGTTTTTTTGATTCAATGGCCGATCGAAAAGGTAATGTTTATATTATCATGTGTGAAGTGTTGCATAATACATACAATACCACACACATAAATAACTGTGGAAAGAATCATTGCATTATTAAGGCAGTGAAAAATCACTTGCAAAACTGTAAAAGGGGTTGAAGTTTCTTCATTCTTATGGAAACATTCATTCAAGTGGTTAGACAAATGGTGTCAAGCCATTTTCAAAAAAACCACAAGCACATATTTATTGTTATGCGGATCAATTTAATTTAATTATTGAACGAGCGGTACAGTGCAATAAAAAAGTAAACTGCAAATTTGCAGTGATTTTCAACTTTTTTTCAAGCGACAATCAGTGATGTGAAATAATCCAACGTAGACTACCATGTGCTGCTCCTGCACAGTGGAAATTCGAAAGCTGAACTGTGAACGCCAGGTTTCTTTCAAAAATAGGAAGGATTCAGTTAGCATATTAATGAAGCAAGTGATTTATTGAAACATTTGAATTGACCAGAATTTCTCTATTGGTTAAAACTACAGTCGACGTTTCTTGCATCTACTTGACCTGTGTTTTGAGTCCGAGGCAGCAAAAGCACCCTTTCTTTGTCAGACACTGTGTCCGGCAATGTTGCAATATTCCCATTTATGTTATTTTTTTCTCACTTGCTGACAAGTAGGCGTCGAAAAAAAATTTCGAAAATTCTCTTAGACCATATAGTACAGGGTGCCCAAATAAGAATGCGAGGTACTGTATCTGGGAACCTGTCCATCGTAGAGGCTTGCGGTAAAAAAATTTATTACTAAAACGGCCACGAGAAAAACCTGGAAAATATTTTTAAGTTTCTGAAATGGCCGCTAGGGGGCGTAACTGCAATCTGGAATCTAAAAAAGTGATTTTTCTGTGAATTCCGCTATATTAACCTAACAAAAAAATGTCCGGTCTTTGAAGACGACGATAATCTGAACCTTTTTTGTTTGACAATTTTTCCTGTATCTCTAAAAATGAAGTGGTGGGGGTATTCAAAGGTTTCCGTAAAGAACACCCTGTATCTTCGAAACGACTGAGCCGATTTTAACAAACTCGGGTTAATTGAAAAGAGTTATTCTTCGGCTACAAATATTATAATATTTGAAGTTTTGTTAGTTTCACATATCGCCGCTTGAGGGCTTTTTTCGACATTCCGACAGAAATGGTTAATTTTCTCAAAAAAATTAAATGCGTTGGTTCGATTTTTTTTTCATGAAAAAGTAGCTAAATGATGCCTAAACAAGCTCGCGAAAACCGCATCTCGATATCTTGTTCCTAACCTAAAATTTAGGCCAAAGAAAATTTTATACCCTCAAAATTTTATTTTTTTAAGATAATTTTTCCGGAATTATTTTTATTAAGTATATAATTTGTGGCCCTAAGGTGGATCGATTTAAAAAAGGAAGCTTTTAATGCCGCCGTAAATGCTCGAAATGCTGGCCATCACGATATAAAAAAAATATATATATAATATATATACCTCAAGATATCGAGATGCTGTTTTCGCGAGTTTGTATAGGGATCATTTAGCTACTTTTTCATGAAAAAAAAATCGTACCAATGCATTTAATTTTTTTGAGAAAATTAACCATTTCTGTCGGAATGTCGAAAAAAGCCCTCAAGCGGTGATATGTGAAACTAACAAAACTTCAAATCGAAGATACAGGGTGTTCTTTACGGAAACCTTTGAATACCCCCCACCACTTCATTTTTAGAGATACAGGAAAAATTGTCAAACAAAAATTGTTCAGATTATCGTCAACTTCAAAGACCGGACATTTTTTTGTTAGGTTAATATAGCGGAATTCACAGAAAAATCACTTTTTTAGATTCCAGATTGCAGGTACGCCCCCTAGCGGTCATTTCAGAAACTTAAAAATATTTTCCAGGTTGTGCTCGTGACCGTTTTAGTAATAAATTTTTTTACCGCAAGCCTCTACGAAGGATAGATTTTCAGATACAGTACCTCGCATTCTTAGTTGACCACCCTGTACATGGACTGCTATTAGCCCTATGCTTTCAATACAAAATGGGTGGTCACGGATAGAGGGCACTGTAGTCCTGGGTATGTGAATCTCAGGGTAAAAAAAGTCGTATGAACACCACTTGGATTGCGTAGATTTTATAGTAACCGCGTAGTATGGGAAGCTTTAAATACTCTTGATTTTCTTCTATACGTCCACAAATAAGAACAGGTTTGCTTTTTTTGCCATATCTAGACGATTAATTAATTGACATTTGTTAATTTATAGGTTGACAGTCTCAAATCGTGTCTCATCGGACCGACTCGTTTACCCTGAAACTCACATACCCAGGCGATGTCCTTGACCATATTTTAGTTACAATTAGCAGTCCATGTACTATATGGTCTAAGAAAATTCTGTATAACTTTGCCCATCTAAGCGGCTTTGTATGTCTTTCGAGTCCCCATAGTGAAAATGAAAAACCACCCACCCTGTAATTTTTTTAAAAAATACGTTTGTAGTAGCAGTTTTTATTTTTAATCGGGATAGGGTAGCGTGAGCAATATTAGTTTTAAGAATGGCGACGCCATAGAAATAAGTTTGAGAACCACTGTCCTAGAATGACCCCAAGTGTCCATAAACCAAAACAAGTACTAGTTCGTTTATTTTTAGGTGAGCAGAATGGCTATAATATTCCCGAAATGGTCGCATGTCCAGATGTATCGAAATGGTTATCTGATGAACAATCCTGCAGGGCGCTGCACGAAAGTGCTCCCCTAGATCGATACTTACCCGAACATGCACGTCGCCTGTTATGCGACGCATTTATCTGCATGTATCAAAGTCCGGATGTTATGATGTATAGATAAAATATTTTTGACGAAATGTTCTTTAAGGAAGCGTATTAAACTTTTCAAATTTATGTATTACTAGATACGGTGTTGTATAAAATAAAGTTAATTTATTATTTGTTATTTACTATTCCGAACTCTCGCATGATAGTTAGCATAGTAAATGTTGTTAATTTATTATAATACATATTCACACTGCAAATAAAAACGATGAAACGAAATTTATATTTCTGTACCTGATTGTAAACACAATGTGAATTACATAGATATATATATATATATTTCTTCTTAAAACTACTTTCATCTATACTAACCTTGTTAAAGCTAATTAACTGTCCTTACGAAAAACAAATTTGTGAGATCAAATAATACACATTTTCTGCAATAAGAACAACATACTATTGCGGCTCGCACCAATTTGACAATATCCATTTTGAACACAAATTCAAGATATGTAACCATTTCTAATAATTGAAACATTGATAAGATGAATTGATTGAACAGCATTCTAATATTACCAAGAACAATAATATTATTTTAAGAAAAGGTGTCATAAATTACACTACATTTATATAGTAATTAATTTTTGTACTGATACCACCCCCTATATTTATTTGGAGATTAGACTGACGAATTTTAAATACAAATACTTTCGAATCAGCCTTTACATTATTGTTAATTACTAGTCTTTTATTTCCTAAATATGTACAGGATCGGATTAATTTCTATTCAGTTTTTGAAATAATAACACTGATAGAGGAGCCTGTTCTACAGCGAGGTCCATGTGGCGCAAGACAAGAATGCTAAAGTGTACCTTAGAACTACTTATAGAAAAATATTAGAATACATGTATAGAGTGCGGGTAAATAAGTGTTTGCACCAATTTTTCTTTTACATGTCTTGTATTGTGATTTTTAAAAGATTGCACTTAAATGAGATTAATCAAAGTCGTCTTCGTCCATTGCGAAATCGCTTCCGACTCCAGAATCAGATGCATATAAAGGACTGGAAAAACATTACAAATTAACTCGCTAATTTATGGAATCAGAATTTTTATTAAAATCAATGTTATGTGTCAATTAAATAAATAATCAAGAATAACTTCGATCAAACCTATATTCAATACCATTCGTAGAAATCAATAGAACCAATTTTGACGGACAAAACAAGCATGTATGAGAAATTTTTTGAAAAATGTTCCTAAAAATTCCTTTTCACTTTAATCACAAGGAAATAAAATTCTTATATAATTTTGATTAAATAGTTTTAATGAAATCTAAATATATATTTAGAATTTCGTCAAAAGAGAGCACAAAATTGCTATCCATCAAAACACTTCAATTAGCCGTAATTGTAACCTGTAATTTCCCATATAGGTAAAATAACTTAAAACTTCAGATTCGATTAACAATAATGAATTCAAATTGCAGAACAATCCGCCACGATACAACTAGCACATACCATTTAGGAATGTTTGTCCACTAAATCCACCTGTTGTCGCAAATCCGAGTTGGACAGGCGGGAGAGTAAATCATTAAAATGCATAATAAATGAACTTGGTTATACTGCACGGTGTTAAGAGTCTTCGATCAGTTGCTACCCTAAGACTCACTATGTTCACCAAATTCAACAATTTGACCTGGAGTGAAAGTAGTGGTCCTTACATGGCGCCCGAGCAGGGACTTTCCGAAACAGCATCTAGGAAAATCGTTCAGGAGCAGGAGACCACCCGTAACACCTTCAATATCAAGGTTAACTTATTGCAAACATTAGGTAATTTGGCGTCCATTGTATACTCAAAATGGGAGATTGAGATTGTAAGTAGTGTTACTGTTCTCTCCTCAATTTAAATCTATATCGTTTTAGAACACCTGATGATGACCTTGTGTAATTTTGTCGAGCCGTTGGCGAGGGGAGTTGAAGGTGAGTGTAACGCATCGGTTACTAGTAAGGCCTGTGTAACAAGTTGTAAATAGTTTTTAATTTGAGTACACAATAGGTAGGTTAAGGCTGTGGACTTTTAAATATTATGATTCGTAGAATGTTATGCCACATCTGAAAAGGGACATCCTGCCACATGTGACCAAATGGGTTTTAGTGACACCCTGGTATCGAGACAGTTCAGGAATCCAGTTTCGTTGAAGAGGATTATCGGATCACCAGCAGCAGCTCAACACTAAGAAAACTTTAGTCCACAGCGCCGGAATCAAAGAGGTAGGCCTTCAACGTCTTTTATGAATTCGCGACTATTGACAGAGTGTCAGTGAAGCAACAATGCGTCGGTCTTTCCTAGCTTATACTCCGAAAAAAATATTTAAAAAACCTTTTGTGCAAATGTCAACTATAGATCTATGGAAATTATTTTTGAGTGTAGAAGGTGTCCCATTTTTACAGTGTAAATAAATTACTGATTTTTTAAAATAGAACACCCTGTATTTTTTTCCGGATAATTCCCCCCCCCCCCCCTCATAAAATTCTATAAATGCGCAACCATCTACACTTGACATTTGCAGAAAAGAATTTTTAGCGCATTTTCTAACTCATGTTGGAAGGTGCTATTATGGCCACTTTCTTGGTCCGTTCGTCCGAGGCCTACTACTCCTTACAGTTTTCAAGATATTTAGTTCACTCTTTTTGCGTTCAGTAGCTTATAGCTCTAGCACCTTAACCAAGAAAAATCGTGATGATTAATGTGCGCATGCGCCGACTGCGCAATGTCAGTTTTCTCATTTGTGCAGATATTTTTTTGAAATTTTAACTGTAGATGCGTCCAGTAAAGACAAACTTCGAGACAAGCAGATTGCATATTGTAAAAATCAGATATGATGCGCAGACTGCGCAATGTGAATCTTTTTTATGCACTTTTTTTAAATTTTAACCAAAGATTCTTCTAGTAAAGGCAAATATATCGTATATTTTAAACATCAGGTGTGCGCATGCGTAAATTGCGCAATGCTAGTTTTTACTTTTTTATAAGAATATTTATGCCATAACATATTTTTCATTAGCCAGGTTGCGGACAGCATTTTCCGTTATGTTAGACGGCCATTTTTCCTTATAATATAAGTTTATAAGTATAAAACATTTTTATAGCAAAGTTAAGTTGCGGTGTGTGCTGGGCGTGTTCAATTTTGCTTATAAGTTTGAAGGAGTCTTAACCTCACTTTTATTTTACATTGTGTTAAAATGTCCAAAGTTCACTACTATGCTCTTAGACAAAAAGAAAAGAACTACCGCCAACATAAACACTGCACAATTGTAGGTTAGCAGGAAAATGTTATTTATGAGTGATTACGTACTGCGCAGTGACACATTATAAGAACTTCATTTTCATTGGTTCCGCTATTTATAAATATATCGTACAAAAAGCCCTCATACCGTAAATTATTTCTACAAAAATTTATATTTCTTATGTTATAAGAAAAAATGGCCGTCTAACATAACGGAAAATGCTGTCCGCAACCTGGCTATTGTAAACATCATAAATAGTCTGTTACATGACCTTTAGGGAAGTACTGCTCAATCCATGGAAAATTCACTAAAACAACCACATAAACGATTGGCAGGATAAAAATGTAGTAAAGTAAATTAAAAAGAATTAAATTATGTGTGAATAGTTTTAGAACTAACATTGGTAACAGTTTTTAAACATTTTTCACTTAACTTAGTTACTAAGAAATTAATTTCATAAAAATATGGGACCTCCAAGATCAAAGTTATAACACAATAAAATTCATTATAATTGGGGTTTTATCAATTGGGAGATTGAATCAAACTCCCAAATTTTCATTAGTCCAATCATGGATTGACAAACCCAACACAACATAAATTTAACTGCTATGTTGACCATTCTTATTTGTTGTACAATTACAGCAAACTTTAAATTTGATAGCAATTGGTTTCCGACATACTTACTTAATGGCTCTACAGGTGAAAAACACAATACGTTTCAGTTTCTTATTGTAGAGAAAATAATTGAAGCTCCAAAGACATCCATCCTCACCGAACGGATCCGAAGCCAAATCCGGATTATAGGAGTAAATGTCGCACTCTTTCATATCGATTTCATCTTCGACGGCGGCCCAAAGCTGTTGTCTCAAAGAGCGGTAATATTCACCTGCGGTCGCGCTCAAATTTGTATCGATTGCGTTCATCACCCATTGCAGAGACGGCTCCTTACTAAACTCGTGGCTCTATAATAAAAGTAAAAACTCTGCGTGAAAGTAAACACTGATAATTTCTGTTACAATCAATTAAATTTCGAAACAGTTAATTCACCTCAATATCATTTTAAAAATACACGCAAGGCATGGGTTTCAAAATAGCCTAGCCTTGATAAAAGATTACTTGGCAAAACAATTCTGTTTTGCTCCTGCAACAAAAAACTAATTTATTTTAGATAGTGTGATGAAAATGAAAAACACCCACTTACCTTAGCGTCCATAAAATCATAATCAGGAAACGCAGAGTTTAAAGTGGCAATGAGATAAAAGAGGGATTTGCGACTGATTGTGTCACAAAGCGGGCCGTCCTCGTCCCCGGAAACGCTGCGGCTATACCCTTGGGGAGGAGACAAAGCTTGCAAATCGTTAGGGTGTATACCTTCAGAATTAAAACGTTTATACAGTGCCTTTTCCCCGCCTGCCATTTTGCACGAATAACTTTCAATACGGCCCACTATTTTGCTATCACCAGTTTTGATCGACAAAGCATTATTAATTGCTTCAAATCGGCTACTTTCAAGAAGTTTCATGATTGACAAATTTACTCAATATTATCGCACGTTATTTGAACAAAAACTTTGTACTTAGATTTCAGTTAATACACAAATTTATATTGTACACCAATTCGGGACCGGACACGTTATACAGTTCTTAAACATTGCTGTTGGATGTATGAATATTCCTTTTCTCTTCGAATGTACAAGGTGAACCGACGGAAGTAATGTACGTTTAACGGCCTTCTTATTATTAAGATCGTATGGGTACATTACAGATGGAATTGTTGCAAATATAAAGTCCTGTTTTCAAAAGAAGTGGAGGGCTCAATAAAATTGTTTACTAACAACTTTGACAAACACTTCAAACACAAAGGTTTTTTTGGACGAGTCCACTATTGAATTAGGAACAAAAACAATAAACACCACCGACTTTCGCTGCTAGTGTTCAGAATCCATAAAATCATTCACCATTTCTGCAATTTTATATAACGCACATCAACGAACACAAGAAATGAATTATTATTTTGTATTAACGCAAATTTAAATATAAAATTATGAGATTAGCTTCACTGACATTTACCCCACCAAAGCACCAAATACACAAACCTACTCAGCGTTGCCAACAGCAGAAGCTAAAAATAGATTGTAGGCAACCAGGCAAGTGAATCAATACGAGGGCGATTCAAAATTGATCCGTCTTATTTTTAGCGCATTCTTTTAAGTTTGAATTGGGGAGGATTTTTTCGTATCCATATCTCTTTCCGAAAAAATCCCTCTGAACAAAATCAAACAAGAAATCGAAAATATTCGATGTGCTACAAAAATTACAGCATTCACAAAGACGCATCGTTATGTATAAACGTGAGGTCGTGAGCTCATAAAAAATTTGTAATTTTTGAAACGGAGAGGAACTATACTTTTATGTGTGTTAAAAACGGTGATTTGTGGACCCTGTACACAAAATCAAACCATTGAATTTATAATTATAACTATCTAAATTCAATGAAACAATTAATGAACCAAAAATATTCAAAATGCCATAAAAATGCCAGCTCTCACATAATAACCTGATTGTTACTTATGTAAAAAAGAGTTTTTTTTTAAATTGTAATTTTTGAAACTGAGAAGTGTTGCAGGTGGACAAATTCGAACAAAGAAAGAAGCAGTAGTGGACCCGCCTATTTCTACACAGCCGTTTTATACAAAAATCTTAAGATAAAAATTGAATTTAACTGACATTTATTGTCATACACTTCTCCCTTGGTTATACTATTGACAAATGAAAATTGTCACAACCCAATACCTGAAAAATCGTCAGGCATATTTTAGCGACTTTTTAGATCCCTCTATGTATAACACATAGATTTTTTTGATATAGATAAATGTGGTGCAGGACAACTGAAGAAAAACATAGAGAATAATTTCAGAACTTGGTAATGTTTTCATGATACCTCCTCCTAATTTTTTTGATACGATTTTAATAAAATGATTGGTATACAGGGTTTTTTTAAAGCGGTAACGGGACACGGTCAACTCGCCAAGGGCGACTCGCCACCGGACCACTCGCCACCGGCCGACTCACCAACGGGACAACTCGCCAACGGGACAACTCGCCACCGCGACAACTCGCCAACGAAATATATTTCCCTGTTTAATATGCATCCCACAAATGCAATAGTCAATTTCCCTAATTTTGTAAAAAAAGTTTATCGAAAAATTGTAGTCAATATTTGAATGAAGACCCAACCGCCTATACCTGTTTCTATTACTGCATTTTTATATAACGACATCTTCTGCAAATTATTATTTGAACAGAAAATTTGACAATCACATCGTTATTTGAACGACACATTAAACAGGGAAAAATATTTCGTTGACGAGTTGTCGCAGTGGCGAGTCGTTCGTTGGCGAGTTGTCGCGGTGGCGAGTTGTCCCGTTGGCGAGTTGTCCCGTTGACGCGTCAGTCGGTGGCGAGTCACCCTTGGCGAGTTGACGCGTACCGGCGGTAACGTGGTTTATGTTGTTGTAAGAACTCATCAATATCCTCAACGTCTCCGGTCTTTACTAACCCTAAGGATTTAATAAGCGTATTACTCAACATACCAAAAATGAGTTATACCACTGATGTTTACAAACAGATGTAAAAGAGTAATAGGAAAACAACAGGGGGGGGTTCTATCATATATTTCAAATATTTTGCTTATGTGCGAGCATTGCCTGATAAGTAATTTGATCATTATAATATACACAATATAAATATGAATCTCGCATCACTCTCTAAATCAATTCAACTTCGTATAAAATATTTATAAACTTATAGAATTATACCTACGTAGTATTAAATGTCTACATCAGACTAGAAAATACTTCATTCACATAATCTCACACAGCGCAAAGTTTAGTGGCAGTAATTGCACTGGGGGTGGCACTTAATGCCATTTACCCCACACTGACAACCGCCAGAAGTATCACCTTTACCGGCAGGTCCCCAACGCGGTCCTCTCGTCACCCAACAAATTTCCGTTTTGCACATCGAACATCTTAGCCAATCGCATCCCCATTTCTTCATTAATATAACGTGGCACGTTGGACACTTGATCGCCTCCCCCTTGTTGACCAACTCCTCTAACATTTCCTTAGTTCGCTTAGTCCCTTCGTCCGTAACGGATTCGTTCGCCTGCTCTTGGTACTCTCGGCAGTTGAGCCCGATATGGATTGCCTAAACAAATTGAGTTGAGTAAGTATTTAGCGAACTTGCAGCTCACCTGGCACGTTAAGCAGTTAGTTCTTCTACACACAGGGCAATGAAATTCGTTGACGTTGTCCTCAAAAATGCACCATCCTTTACAGTCGGGTGTTTTACAGTGGAAGGATTTGTCGATCCTATTTTCGGCCTGCGCGACGGATTTTGCTAAGAACTGCTCGTACACTTCGGTCGTAACCAGCGCTTTGATTTCCCTATCTTGCAGCGAAATATCGCACGAGTATTCGTCGTCTCGATAGGGGCACTTCACCTCCGCATCCTCCGTGAACTCGATCGTGTGCGCCAAGCAGTTTTTGCAAAATTGGTGGAGGCATTCCCGCAGCGTGACTCCCTCCCGTGAGTTTATTTCGGTCAAGCACACGAGACAGTCGAACGGTTCGCCGTTTTCCACTAAATCCGCGTTGTCCAGATTAAGCAACTGCAGATAGTGTTGCTGTTTTTGCACGGTGGGCTGGGGCGCTTTCCTCTTGTTGCGCGTATGTGTGGATTTTCCGTGCGTCGAATTTGTTTTTCTCACCGTGGCGCAAATCGCGCAAACGTTAATGGATTGTTCGTTGATGAAGGTACACATTCCGCATTCCCACGTTTTACTATTCTGAGGTTTCAAGGTGTGTGAGTCGTACTCCTCGAGATCTTCGTAGTTTTTCGGTTTGGCGAGTATATTTGTAGCTGCCTCCTGTTCAGCATCGTCCTTATCATTCGTCAGTGGGACTTTTTCATTTGCAACCGCATTCTCCTCATTGCCCCCATGGGCGTTGGTGTCCTTCTCAAGCACCGGTTCAGTTTTCTCTGCAGGTTGAGTGATTGCCGGTTCCACAATTTTCGTTTCAGGTTTCTCTTTCTCCGTCTTATGATCTGAAATGTAATATCATTATTAGAAAAGGTCGATAAAAGTACCTACAAATGGTACTAAGTATAATATCTTCATTTAGAAAACCTTTTTAACCAAATACTAGAAGCAGATCTGGATGCCACGTAAAATTGATGACACTGTTTGCTTGATAGAACTGAACAAAGAAGCAGATATAGATAGAATAGAAGAATGAAGATAGAATTGCCAGAAGCTGGAATTATCATCAGCAAAAAACAATGGGGAAATGATACAAATCCGATAAAAACAAGACGAAAAACACGTACTTATACGAATGCAAAAATCTAAATCTAGGATATAGTTAATAGAAACAAAATATAACGAGTATAAATGGGCAAAAAATACAAGAGTATGAATAGAACTGAGCACAAAAAGGAAGCAATTCTTAGAAGTTTGTTGTTATAAGGATATACCCTACCTACTAACCTTAGAACTGATTGGATATTATTTATCTCTAATAATTTTGCAAATAGAAACGAAAACTAGCAAATGAAAGAGAAAAACATAGAAAGCAGAAAACTAGAGACGTATAAACGGCTACGGTTGAAAATATCTATAGAGAGACAGATTGCTTAATATGTTTATTGTTTGTAATTAAGCAATATGCCATCAGAATTTGATCAAGTCAACCGGTTATTAAAAAATAAGTCTTTAGATTGCTTCGAAAATGACACCAAAAACGTTGGCTGCGCTTTTTGGACAATTTTCTTTGCCCATGTATTCGCCTCCTTTCTTATTTGTGGAGATATTTTCCTGCAATGTGAATTTCTAATAAATGCAAACACTGTGTCGGATTAAACTACAAACAGTATTTTTAAATCTAAATGTAAATGCTAGTGTAAATGTATATAGGGTGGAAATTTTGTCTGGAACACTGAATATATATCTTCAAAATAAAATTTTTTTAAAGAAGCTTCTTATAAAAATTACGCCTGCAGAGTCAAGGGGGGCATATATTTTTATTAGCAACCACTCTAAGGTAGATGTATCAACTTTAAGCAAATAAGTTATAACGATATTTTTTTTTGAAAATGAGTTTTGGTGTAGTTTCCAAAAATATTAAAAAATTCACCTTGCCAAAATATTAAAGAAACATAAGCGAGATTTTGGAAAAGAAACTTGTATCCCACTTCTGATGTGATTTATATAGAACTCCATGATAGGCTTTGTCGTGTTAATTAATAAAATCAAAGTATAATAAAAACCTATAATGTTATTATGTTTTCTATGGGCTAGCCCATAGAAAACAATAACATTATAGGTTTTTATTATACCCACTTCTGATATCTGTATTCTTTACTTTTAATGTTACTTCTTTCCACGACAGAATATTCTTTCATCCTCTCCTTTTAAAACTAGTATACGATTTTAAAATAAATCATTAAAGTCATACCTACCGTTTGTAGGAGCGACCAAATACAAAAATATTGAGCACCCCGGCGTTATATTTAAATCTTTCAAAGTAGTGCTGTCGTCGGTTGCAAGTTCGTTTCCCAAAATCCATCTTTGAACGACAACAGGTATTTGAAACTCATTCTCCACTTGAAGTTTCAATTCGGCAACCGTATGATCTTCGCCTACATTAATTTGGAACGGCCCTCTGTGAGAAACTTTATCTTCGACATACATATCAACACTAAAAAAAGAACATTCATCAAGTGATTTATTATAAATAAACACTGCACTTACGTGAAGCCTGGTTTCGCTTTGGGTACTTGTTGATTTTCAATAGATTTTTGACGTATAACAGAACAATTCACTTTTAGTTGCGCTAATTCTCGTGCGAAATTGGAGGCCTCACTTAACTCTCCCCTGGCGATTGAGGTCTCCAGTCGTTTTAGTAATCGATTTATTTCCAAAGTGTCCGTATTGTTACCTAGGCTATTTTTAATTTCGTTAAATCTCACTGGCATGTTTAGGAAGAGATCTTTATTTTCTAATAAATTAGAGTAAATATGTTGGCTGGGTTTATCAGTCTTTACGTTGTAAATGTTGGCAAAGTCCTTTGGACGCATTAATTCGAATTTTTTATTCACTTCCTGTTTTTGTGCCGCCCCCATGGGCTGTATTTCGCCAGCGCTACTAGTCTGTGCCGTCGCCGTTACCTTTATCGGTTTCGGGTTGTCGGTCTTTTTCACCTTTATATTTTCGTAGACGGTTTCTTGGGTCATTATTGTGACCTCGGCGATTTTCTCGCTGGTGTCTTCCTCCGGCGTTTTCTTTTCGATTTCGGTCTCGATATTTTCTTGTATGATGCTGGCTCGATTGGACTGTTTTTCGGTAAAGTTGTGTTTGCGCTTCGGTAAAGAATTTTTCATTTCAATCAACATTTTCTTCAACCTTTCCTTTTCTCCTTGTTTATCGACGGATGAGTTTTGTACCGGCTTGTCCTCCGACGACACCGACTTGACGAATTTTCGATTTTTGTCTTTAGTCTCGTTATATTTCGCTAATGCCGAAAACCCAATTTGCGTTTTAGATCGTTCTAAATTTCTCTCGAATATGCCACCATTAACAAAATTAAATGAGGGTGTATTTTTAGACGCATCTGAACTTGTACCAGGCGGAAAATGTTTTATTTCTGAATTTTCTGTTTTATTCTTTTCGAGCGTGTTTGAGCTAATTTTAGCTGGAGGCGATGTTAAATCATCGAAATACGGTTTAATGGTCGAGCACACGTAACAAATTATTCTCCAATAGTCATTTTCCAATGAACACTTGGGACAGTACCAACTTTTTTTGTCCAATTTCGAAGAATCCTTATATTTAATTACGGAACTCTCGGATTTGGCCAGAGGAATTTTGTCACTTACGCTTTTTTCGACATTCTTAACTTCCGTTTCTTTCGTTTGCTCATTTCCGATTTTACCAAAATATTCCCGTTTGAAATTCTCTTTTGGAAATGCGCCGACTTCTCTAGCGCCGAAGAAACTCGAGTTCACCGTTACTTTGGTCACATTTGTAATGGCGTTAAATTTGGCGATTAGATCTCTCGCGGATTTTCTCTTAGGCGACATCCAGCTGTCTGTGCTTTTGTTTAGCTCTTGCTTCGGACGCATAAACTGAGGAATGTCGGCTTCTTTATTATCACTTTGATGCTCTTTCTTTATAATTTCGGAAGCTTCGCGATCTAATTCACTTATATTAGTAAGAAACGCGATACCGGATTTACGTTTATCGTCTTTCTTTTTGTTCGCCTTTGGGTCTTCGACCGTTACGTCCGTGATACTAGAGATTCTTGAGTACTGAACATCTGGCAACCTTTCAAGAGGCTCGTACTTTTCTTCTTTGTCCTTTTTTGCAATTACTCCACTGTCACGAGAAAGATTTCTTTTGTACCACGGTCTTGGGGATACCGGTGCCTCCATGTAACTCGATCTTGGCGATTTACTCAACGGTTCCTGGTCCGTGTTTTTGGCCGATTTCAAAATGCCATGGTCTAACTTGAGGCAGTCGTTAAAGATGACGTCCGCGTCCGCGTATTCTATTGTGTCGTATTTACTATCGCCATAAAACGAGTTAATTAGTTTATTTGCCGTTACTGCTACCGGAGGTTGCGGGGCCAATCGTTTTTTCCTCCTTAAACTCAGCGACGAATTTCCATCGAAAATTTTGACGGCGGGAGGAGGAGGAGCCTTTCGTTTCCCCTTAACGTGACAATAAGCCCCGGCTTTTTTTATTTTCGACGATTCGCTGTTTGTTCTGCGGTGCAACTTTTCCTCCTCATTTTCAGTTTTGCGCGTCATCAGAGGTAAACTTTTGCTATTGTCGGATTCTTCAGAAAAAGTTGGAGAGACTTTTAGAACGGTATCGCGACTGAAGAATAAATTATATTTTTTTCGTAACGTTAGATCTTTATCACATTCTCTCCTTTTATCGCGTTGCTTCAGTCTTGCTCGGTATGTGTCAGTTTCGGGACCGGGAACGATATTCCTTTGCGTTACATCAATCTTATAATCACTCGCAGGAACAAACGAAAACGAGGCGATTGTTCCGCTACTACTAATGGAATTTAAACTATCACAGCTGCTGGAAGAACTCACCTCTTGGGTTACGGATTCGCGAGAAACGGAAGGTTTAAACCACTTAAAGAAGGAAAAGAGGCCACTGCTACGTTTGGATGTTTTTGGATCACAGCCAGGACTTTGTCCAATGCCAGCTATTGATGATTCTTGGTGTTTTATACTCATATTATAGCACTCATGATAAATGATTAATCGGAAAACCCTCCTCGACCAGCAATGACCTTATTAAACGGGTATTCTTAACTAAAAATTCAAACAAAATAACTTAATTTAGTTTCAACACGTGTTCAACGATTTGCTACTCACGTGTTATTTTTAGGCAGAGATGTTTAAAATAATGTGGAATATCTTAGATGCATTTAAACGTATGCACACGTTTCCTTTTTTTCACAAACCACTTTTCAATTAATATCATTATATACGCGTGTAAACTACCATTTTCCATTCATTTACTGCACTAAATCTATTCGATTTAATGGGAATTGTTGAAAATATCGCGCCACGACACTTTACACCAACAACCGAGCTTAACGTCGCGATGCCCGATTTAAATTTAGCGTTAGTTCAACTTTTGTCCGATTGTCAAATAGTTTTTAACAATTCTTCCATAGTTTACATTTGGAAGATCTTGATTTGAAATTTGAAAGACTCACAAAAATTTGACACTTTTAGATCTATTTTTCAACTGCCAAATCAACGCCACAAAATCACGATTGTATAAAATTGTAGAATCCAACACTTGAAATTCTTCTACTGGAAAATTATTCACTTGTTTTGAGGGCGAATATTTCAGGGCTAATTTTACGAAAGCAACAGTAAATAAATTCCAAAATTCTACGAAAATCAACCACGGTCAGTTTTTCACCATCAATTTGGAAAATTTGGTATGGAGATGCGGAGGGTGTAAAGAAGGTGGGGGCACGGTCATTTAGATCTAGCGGGTATTTCTACGTACACTACCGCGATAATGGTGTAATTTTGTTTTATTATACCGGAATCACAATCTCCGTTGTGAACCCTCAAATGCGTTCGAAATCGGGCCTTTAAAACATAAGTGCTTTAAAGGTTGTTAAGTAATGTTACTGCAAAATATGACTTGTGAAACTATCAGCTGGGTAGGGGCTCAAATAAAAAGTTGATTTCTATAAATGCAAAAAAATTTCTATGGCTATACGTTGGTACCTATCCTTTGTTTGAAGCTTTCACAAACGTGTGTAATTTAGGATGCTTCTAAATCTGTTCCATTTCTGAATCGCAGCATTGTTTGAAGATTTGAATGAATGCACCAAAGGACAGAAGATTTAAGTACCTTTGACATTTCCTTCATTATATTATAGATGGATGGAGGAGATGGGGGTAAACCCACGTTCTACCCGTCATGGTATTCTAATGAAAGGTCTCATGCATGCGGCTCTTTTGATATAAAGTTGCGGCTCTCCGTATTTATCTAAAGAAATTAGTTCATTTGTTCGAAATTCGCCTTTTTAATTAATCTTATTTGTTTACCAAATCAAAAGTACACTTGCAGCAAATAATTATCTAATTTGTGACACCTGTTTACCTTTACTTTCTGGTATTCTTTTGTTTTTTTATTATAGCAGCCTACTCCTATGTATAAACACGTAATTAATTAATGAGTAGGTACTTTTGTGAAAAATATTGAATAACATAAAAACTGCGGGGTTTAAGCACAGGGCACCCCTTATAAACATTGAAGAGAACACAAAAGACAATCGAATAGCGAAATAAAATAGTGGTAGTTCCATTTGAAAAAGAATAGTTATAGCACTTTGAACAAATGGCATTGAAACAAGTAAAAATATGCAGGATGTTCTATTTAAAAAGATCAGTTATTTATTGACATCGTAAAAATGGGACACCCTGTACATGCAAAAATAATTTCTGTAGATCCGCAACCACCAATATTTTTTACCAGGTATCAGCTATGTAGGAAAAACCGACGCATTGTTGCAGGACCCTGTATATAGCCAAATACTATAATATTAAATCAAAATTTTTTTGTGGCTCTTTCAAAACTGGGAAATTTTATAAGTTGTAATTTTTGGCTCTTCTGTTTCAATAGGTTGCCGACCCCTGTACTATACCATTGAATAATTATTCAATGACTATACCATCTCTCGCTAATAACTTTATAATACTTACCCGCCTATGCCACGCGGTAAACTCACCCCGCTCAGTAAATTATCGCCTAGGAATTTTCGTTTAAGCGTATTTCACGAGAGGGGTTTTTTTTTTTAATTTTCCAGGAGAAGTGCCTTCTCATTGAAGGTACATAATCCGGGCTGCTGTTTCTTGGGTGCATCCAAAGATTTTTAATGTGGTAACTTTTCCCTTGCATTCTACATCATCTGCCGTTGACCGATAAGAAAGTTCATCTGTCTTTATGGACAATTATTGCTTGTCTTAAGGATAAGATTAGCCCCGTTTCCTGTGTACTCGTACGCTTTCCAAGGAAGTCATTGGTGATTCAGGTTGCTAGGTCACTCATCAGTAAAAACAGGAAGGTGAGGCTGGCATTTGGGTGGAAAGATTAGTAAAAAAGTGACAAATAGAGCCACCCAATCTTTTGTTATGGGCTTTTAAATCTTAGACCATATGGTCTAAGTTTTAAATTTATTACTTTTCACTCACGGCTGTGGTGGTGGTTGTATTGTGTGTTGCCTATTTATATTTCAAAATCTTTCAACTATCCTTAGACTGTGAAGCCTTAAAAAAGCTATTCATTATTTGAATAAAATTATTCTCTCACAGTCCTGGTTGGAAACCAACCTAATATCGGGAATAAAAATTATGAATGGAAATTAGCTATTTAAGTTAGCGCCCTCTCTTGGTAACATATATTGGTGGAATTATTTACTTTTTAAGGTTGGCAATTCGTTCTATTATTCGGATTTCGGTGGTTTTGTTGTAGGTTAAGTTTTTAAAGCGTTTGGTGTGCGTAATATTTTCTTTTATTGAGAGTAGAAAAACTAGGCAAAAATGGTAAGTGAATTACCAATTAAGCATTAAACTTAGTAATGAATCACATCCGTAGACTATTGGTAAGAACAATAAAATGGTACAACACATAAACTACCGGGTCCGCATAACCCTGCAAGATTCGCGGACGTTTATAGGTACGTTTAAAGCTTTCGATAAGCACATGAACATGATTTTGGGCGATTGTGAGGAATTTCGGCGTATTAAACCGAAAAATTCAAAAATTGAAAGAGAAGAGAAGCGAGTGCTAGGATTCGTTCTGTTGCGTGGCGAAAGTATCGTTTCACTAACGGTGGAAGGTCCTCCGCCGCCAGAAGAGGGTTTGCCAAGAGTGCCCATTCCTGGTGCAGCACCTGGCCCCGGAATCGGCAGAGCTGCTGGCCGTGGAATACCGGCGGGTGTAGGTGGTGTACCTGTAGGCTTACAAGGTCCCGTTCGAGGTGTAGGAGGTCCCTCACAGCAAGTGATGACACCAGGTGGCCGTGGACAGGTAGCCGCACCGCCACAAATGCATCCGGGTCCACCACGTATGGGTGGTCCTCCACCGGGAATGATGGGACCTCCACCAGGGATGATGGGTGTTCCTCCAGCAATGGCAATGGGTCGAGGTGGTCCACCACCTCCAATGGGAATTAGAGGTCCACCTCCAGGCATGATGAGAGGTGGTCCTCCTGGCCCACCAAGACCATACTAACAATAATCATTTTCTTTATAATTTGAGTGAAGTATATCATTAATTTCAATTCAGAATAAACACAATTTTAATTTACAAAAGTAGTTTTGAATAATATCTGTATTATAATTGTAATGAACGTTTTATATGTAAAAATAAATCAATGTGCTTAGCAGAAGAAAAAAAATACAGTATATGAACTTCCGGCACTTAAACATACAGGACCAGACCCACCCCACACGGGGTGCCAAAATCTCAGAGAATTGTAGGAATTCCAAATATTTATTACCGACTTAATTATAAAAAAAAACAGTCTTTATTTTGTGTAATAATTATGTCACAAATGGCGCTTCATACTTGATGGTGCAAATGGCAATAAAAATAGGTATCCTATTATCTTGCCCAATAAATATTTCAGATTTGAAGGCGTCAACAACGACTTCGCCCGGTTATTTTACCAAACTGAGTATTGCTAGTAAAAAGAATTTCTTAAGATTGAATTTTCGGCACAGTCTGCCATAGTCGCTAAAAATCCTGTGTTTATTGGAGTCCTCTACAAACTTTTGCATGCGCTTCTTGCATATTCAATTCCCAATGTAAACATTTATTCAGCTTGAATATAATTGTTTTAATTTTGAATATGCCACTTGTGGTTTAGTGACATGCTAAGTTATTTCAAACCACAAAACTTCCATATGTTAATTTTTGTCAATAAAATGTATTTTAACGAATCTTAAACACTATCATATGTATAGTATATATTTAGGCTAAAAGCATATTTTTAACACTGTATAACAAAACAGATAATTACATACTAAAATTGCATAAAAGTCACAATAGATACAAATAAAGATTTTATCCAAATACATGTAGGTACTTATGTAATTACTTTGCACATTCTCACCTGCAATACTGGACTTTTTAAAATAGATTAAATCGTAATTTGTATATCCCTCCAACTTGTTAACTTATAGGGGCACTTGAATTTGAAAGTAATTGTTGTGCAGATTGTGCAGCGATTGTGGGGTCATATATTAAAGGTGTAGATGTAGGTAAATGTGTATGTCCATCTTGGTAGGTGGTCGGTATACTAAAATACGTGCTCACGTTCGGCGTGGCATTTAATGGTAATGTTGTGGGATTAACAGAGGTTGGAGGAAATGTTGACTGTGAGTACGAAGTGCTTGGATTGCTATAGTTGGGTAATGTTGATTGCATCACAGTTTCGTTTAGAACGCCGCTTAAAACGGTTACAGGATTATTAAAAACTGGTCCAATTGTCGGAGGTATATTTGAAATAGTTACAGGATTAGTAAAAACTGCAGCAGTTGTCGGAGGTAAATTGGAAATGGTTACCGGATTAGTAAAAACTGTGCCTGTTGTTGGAGGTAAATTTGTCACAATTGGGGATTGCATAGTGGAATACGGGGGTGTGGCAAAACTTTGTGCTGGTACCGAGTATTGAGGTAAAGGTACCACAGGCTGAGGATTTACAGTGGCAACGATAGCAGGATTAGTTCCTACATTAGAAAAAGCGGGACTAGTATCACTCTTTGAGAAAATTGGAGTTATCGGTTGAGATGGTTTGACAGGTAATCCTCGAATTGGAATTCTGTGTAGATAACCATAACCGATTCCACAGCCTAAACTTCCTTCACCGCCCCAGTCTCGGTGAGGTGTAATTGTAACATCTCTACAAGAATCGTCCACGCTGTTATACACGTACAATTTCAGACTGCGCGCTTCATGAGCCTCAATTAAAGCAAAAAAGTCTTCACTTTCGTGTAATACGGAATCAGAACCGATAATGTAATCTGTAAACGATCTTAAACCTGCCAGCTCAGCAGGAGAACTAGGATGAACTTCCAGCACGTGCCACACGTTCTCATTAGCACCTTCGAACGAGCAAAATCGAATGCTCACTCCAAGCAAACCTTGACCTCCCCATTCTTCTGTAGGTTCGATATTTACACTTCTAACTGCCTGCGTTTTGCTACTATAAACCGTCATTGGCACGTTCTTCCCTGCGAAAGATAAGTATTCAATTCAGTCAGCAAGAAACTGACTTACCTAAGCCATTTCGTAAAATCTGTTTCAGTGTTTCATTGTCTTGGTCCAATCTGGTACCGTTTATTGAAATAATAAAGTCAAAGAAGGCTTCTAATCCTGCTCTACTTCCAGGAGAGTTTTCTTGTACCTAAATTACGTGGCCCCATTATAGGCATTTTCCGAAGCAAATTTGTACGTACCCTTAATACATGATAGCCCTCCGTTCCTCCTCCGGGAACATCGACGCTCGGAGCGTTTCCCATTATTTTGGATGTTTAAAATTACGTGGCAGAATTAACATCATTTACCACATATCAAACTTGACAGTTTTGAAATGCACCTGGCTACAAGTTGACAACTCAGAATATCAACTGCGTACTAAAATCCCCTGCGTACTGAAATCTACATGTAGATATAGGATGGTGCAAAAAGTAAGTGCAGCGCTCAACTGCAACTTATAATTTTAATAAACTTAATTAAGTAAACCGCAAGGGAGGTATTACATTGGAGTAAAAAATGACTAACGGAACTACACTTTTTGAAGCACCAGGATTTCGAATCAAACAAAGTCGGCTGGTCGGTGTGTCTGTCTGTACTCTTATATCCGCCTAAACGGCTCAACAGATTGGAACCAAATTTGTTAGGCATATTCTAGACAAAAGGCAGAAGTGAAAAGCTTTTGGGCAGAATCGCGCATGCATTCCAATTAGGTATAGGGACCATCACGCTTCGAAACTTTGCGCTGCCCGACAAACGACTCTGCACTAATTGTATCACCCAGTTGATAATTTGAGTTGCGACGAGTTTTGTCAGCGTAGACCTCATACATGTCTTGCCTCCAGCCATGAATATCTTTGGCTTCCTTTCAGGTTCACGAAATCCGCTCTAGATATGGGGTTGTTGTGGTAAACTTTTCACTTTGAGCCACGCTACGCGAATCCTTTGGGACGTCATCTAGGGTCCGCAGTTCTCTCTCAAAGGTTAAGAACGCTACAGTACCTACTTCCTGTAGTCTCGCAGTGCGAAGAATTCATGACAACCCTAATATGTAGCAGGTAATTTCTCTGCCCTGTCACAAATTACCACTTAAACTTTTCACAAACGGCCAATATAAAAATATAATTTCTTTTCAATTTTCAAAAATTTTTAAACTTTGTGCGTATTTGTCTGGGTATCTTTTGCTCCAGCATGAGCTTTGACCTACATGAGTTCAAGAGAGTGTCTGCAGCAATTTTTAGGTCGTAGCGATTGGTGTGACCAATTCTGTAAAGTACTTTCGCTGACGAACGTTTCAATGGAATCAGAAAACTGACATTCACAACCACCCTATATATTTGACCAAACAAAGGAGTGCGAAATGTTTAGGGGAATTTGACTTTTGACAGTTTGATTACCAAATGTCATCCTCTATCATGTTATAAATAAAAATTTGTAAATAAAAATTGTTCATACCCTATCAACGTGATTTTTAAGTGCATTTTGGAAGTACTTTAAATTTGGTAAAGTGTAAAAAATTATCAGCGAAACGTCGTAATGTTCACCCTCTCTGTAATACATACTATTTAAAAATTTTTAGTCTATTAAATGACGTTTCCTTTGTTATGTTTGCAAAAATTCATCTTCAAAAGTCTATTTTTAAAATTTGCTTAATAAATCAAGGTAATATTGCGTAGCAGTACTATGCAACACTCATATTGCATTAAAGGTAAGTGGATTTTTGTTAATTTGAACGCTTTGTTTTGTTTATGTTTCCACCAATCAGCTGATTACAATAATAAAACAAACGTTTTTGCATTTAGACAAAGGATACTTATACTTCAATTATTTACAGTGCACAAGAAAAGGTGAAAAATGCAGAGCTATGCGGCGTTACAAGAAGCCGGTGACCCCGACGACGGCGGTGTTTTAATTCACGTCGTCGAATCGTCACGGGCGAGATGGAATCACATCGAAGATTTGGACTCGTTCTTCTCGCGAATGTACAGATACCATCAACGGCATGGCTTCTCGTGTATGATGCTGCAAGTGATTCTAGATTTATTTAAATTTTTCTTCGTGATAGTTTTGTACACCTTTTTAACGAACTGCATCAACTTTCCCCTGCTGTTTGGGGATGAGAAACTTGCAAACTCGACAAAGGTAATCAATTATAATGTGACGGTTAATAATAGGCCCCTTGCACATCTAAAGCGTATGCCCTTAATAAGCAATGGCACAACAGTAAACATTAGGCCAGGGCACCCACTGGCCGCATGTGGTGTGGTTTTGTATGCTGTTGAAAAAGTTATTTACAGTTTTGACAGCTTTGCAATATATATCACAATCACAGGGCTGTAAATGTGCTTTTTTTAGGAGGTTTTTTTAATTGTGGAATTGTTTTATTTGTACAGGCCATAGCCTACTGTGTATCAAAGAACACAGCGAATAGCACTTCAGACTTTTGTCCATTTGCACTGTCACATTTAAACTTGAGTTTAGATTGAGCGTAGTATCCATTGCAACGATACTGTTGAGACAATGGTTATCATGGAGCTATGCTTATATCTTATACTATGCGATCAAAAATGAGTTGCTGTTGAGTCACCTTTGGAATTTTTGTTTACATAAAAAATCATACTTAATTTCCTAAGGCGACTTGACAGCAACTCATTTTTGATTGCCTGTTTTGATAGTAGATAGTTTCATGATTTAGAAGATGTAAAAAAATGGCAAGAAAGGGATGTAGAAATCAATTGTGTATATTGTATGTAGCCTGTAGGACAGTGTTTTCATGCCACACGGGATTCAAACGCAAAACGGTCTTACAAACCATTTAAAAAATATTGTCAAAATGTATATAAAATACAATAAATTGTGTGCAAGGGGCCTCAATTTGGGTACCATTATATTTCCTCTATGGTACCTTGTAAAGTAACCCGTTATAATTTTTAGGTAACGATCGGTGATGTGGTTTATCCAGCAAAGGAGTGTATAGCACGTTTCAGTCTATTTACTTGGATTGGAATCTCGACCGCAGCTTTAGTATGGTTGCTTCGTTTATTCAGAGGCATCTACTACATGTTTTATTATTGGGATATTAAACAATTTTTTAATTCGGCTTTGAGTGTCGCCGATTGTGATTTAGATAATTTAACGTGGCACGAAGTACAAACGAAAATACGCGCCGTGCAATTAGAACAGCAAATGTGTATACATAAGAAGGAATTGACAGAGTTGGATATTTATCATCGTATATTAAGGCAACAGAATTACCTTGTCGCTATGGCGAATAAGCGACTGTTACAACCGCGACTGCAAGTTCCCATAATTGGTGAAGCGGTGTATTGGACGCGTGGATTGCGTTATAATATGCAATTGCTATTGTTCTCGAGTCCTTGGTCTCCATTTCAAAATCCGTGGCATCTACGAGAGGAATACAAAAAACCTAATCTTAGACACGAATTAGCGAATAAATTTGGACGTCTCGTATTATGGTTAGCTTTAGCAAATTTAGTATTATCGCCGTTAATATTCTTTTGGCAAATACTTTACGCTTTCTTCAGTCATGCAGAAATTCTGAAAAGGGAGCCAGGCACTTTAGGAATAAGAACCTGGTCGTTATATGGTAGATTATACCTTCGACATTTTAACGAATTAGATCACGAATTACAGGCACGTTTAAATCGTGCCCATCGTCCTGCGAGTCGTTACCTATCTGCATTTAATTCTCCTATGGTAACGATAATTGCGAATAATTTCGCCTTTATATTTGGTGCAATACTAGCAGTGTTACTTGTTTTGACCGTCTACGACGAGGATGTTTTAGCAGTTGAACACATTTTAACCACCATTACGGTTTTGGGAGCGGGTTTAGCGGTGTGTCGAGCACTAATTCCCGACGAAACTCAGGCATGGTGTCCGGAAACTCTACTCTCAAACGTGCTGGCGCACACTCACTATCTTCCGGATGGCTGGCGAGGACAAGCGCACACACTTCGCGTGAGGAAGGAATTTCAACAACTTTTCCAGTATAGAATCGTGGGTTTACTCGAAGAACTCCTATCGCCCATCATCACACCGTATATTTTATGGAGACACATTTACCCGCGGTCATTGGATATTGTGGACTTTTTCCGCAATTTTACTGTATCTGTGGTAAGTTTTGAACTTCTACTGTGCCATGGTAAATACTAGCTTATGTGATATAGATATACGATATTTAAATTTAAGTAATTACTGGTAACTTCATTCCGAGTTTTATGTTTTTGGGGAATATTGTAATGCCAATGTATTTCAAAACAAAGGGATTTTTTTTGTTTTCAGGATACCTGTCAATTGAAATTGTGGTAGTTTACGTTTACATTGCCACAATTTTGCAATTTACAATGTAACACTGTGCCATAAAAACAATAACAGTCGAAAATGAGCGTTCCGGACCAACTGCATCTTATGGAAAATTTTATTCTAAACAAGTTCATTTCTATTCATTCTTTCCCTCAGAGCAATAGTTAACGAGATATTCAAAGTCAAATGCGAAAAAACACGACATTTTTCTCATTTTTACTTAGTTTTATGTTTATAACAATGTGTTCCGGGAGCTTCCCGCCAGGGGGACTATGATTTTCAGATTCAGCGGATTTTTTTTACCTACGATACGCTTGGTTTCATTGAGTGAAGTGACCACATCTAGCCCAAACCGTAATTTGACTGGACTAAACATAAGAACATAAACAAAAAAAATCCCCCCCACTTACTGCAAACATTGTCTCTGATTATCGTAAAATATAATCATTAAATTTAGTTGGTAGGTTGCTGGAATGTTTGATACCGAAATATCTGGATTCATATCATCTACAACTTTGTCTTTGTATGACTTTGTTCTTTGAAATTTTGCAAGTGGAGTTACTAGATCTTACTATGGAATGACATTTTTCGTTATTATAATTATACAAATGCTTCAGGTCGGTGTTGGAGACGTGTGCAGTTTCGCACAAATGGACGTCCGTAAGCACGGCAACCCCGAATGGCAGGGAGCTCAGGGACAAACCGCCTTAGATCAGTACACCCAGGCGGAAGACGGCAAAACCGAGTTATCCCTCGTACATTTCACACTTACAAATCCATGCTGGAGGCCGCCATCGGAAGCGCAACAATTCGTACAGGCTGTGCAACGCGAAAGCAGTTTGATAGTCCCGCAAAGTAGCGGAGATTACATGCTTCAAGTTGATTTAAACGATAGTTCCAATTACGGTGCGCCGGTCAGAATGGAGGGGCCATCGAATACTAATAATCCTAGTAATATGAGTTTAAGTACATTGTACCTGCACGATCGGCATTTTCGACAAGTAGGTAATCGGATTGTCCGACGAGCCGAAGAAACCACACCACTACTTTTAAGTCACTAACTCTAGTCAAAGAAAAATTTGTAAAAAGACATGAATTTTGAATAAAATTTTGTATATTTGAATCTTTCGTTATGTTAAATTAATAATAAGCTTATAGGTTGTTAAACTTTTATAATTTATACAACGAAGTATTCTTTAGTTAGCTTACTAGAGATTTTTTAAATAAGGGCGCAGTTTCGTTTTTGTTTACACATGTTTCAAATAAAACATTCTTATTACTTATCTATTAGTGTACCTCGTACTTTCTTCAACTCTAATTGTGTTTGTTTCGATTCCTGTTTTCTTTTGTTCATCCCCTTCCGTTCCAGTTGTTTCTCGATAATTCGCGCATTATTGGCGTAACTATCTGCTACCTCTCGCTACAAAACAATGCTTTAATATTATATAACAACTTGAATGTAATACCGCTTCAATTTCGTCTTCCTCTTCATCAATCGTTGATACGGTAACTGAACTGAATTTGCCCATATTTTTAGTATGCTTAGTAACCATAATTTTTTTTGGCTTTTCTACTGCTACCTGATTATAAATGTCCGCGATAGGACCCTCCTTAGATGATTTAATTAAGGATCCTTTGACAATAAAATTTACTGTGCTGTTGGGATCGTGTTTATAATAAAGTAAGAGACCACATTTTTTGCATTTCAAACGATGTTGCCTTTCAATACCTTCGGGACGTTTAATATATACTGTTTCATCAATATCGTATGTGATTTTATGTGCGTGATTTACTCCGTCAAGTACTCGTGCTCCGTCACGTTTGCGTAATGGTAGTTTTTCCATGGCACAGTCTGTAAATATATAATTCAGTAATCATCGAGTTACAATAAATCTGTTACCAAGTATTAGAGTCATTTGGCCGCATAAGCAGTAATATATGTGTAAAGGTTTCTCATCTCCATATTCTTCCTGATCTTTAATATCTGAACAAGCAATACTACGTGATACAACCTTGGGCATCTTTATAATATTAAAATTATATTCAATAACACAATTTAAATAAAATTTGAGGTTATGTCATGTAATATACTTGCAGATGTCTTGCACATTGACTCCCTCGGTACTGCGCAAACGCAACCGCGCTTACATTTGAATTTGCTTTAACGCACTGGAATTAATAAAGCCTTCGGTCATCACTGTAAATTCGAGTTACATTATAATAGTCCAAACTTGAAAGCAACCGTCACGATCCTTTACAGCATAATATGGAATAAACAACAAGAATTGTAACGTTATTAGGTATTTATTATAATCAAAACCCTTCTACCATCATGGTGTACGGAAAATAAATTAACATACTCTACCAGATAAGTCACTATAAACCAAGCTATAAACTTCTACATGTCTCCCTCAAAATATTTGGTGCTATTAGCAGATATACTGATACTACTATTACTTTAGCTTTACCCTCTGTATGTCACAGCTTAACTGTATAGTCAGATATCACGAGCACCACAGGTGTGCCAGCAGAAGAGCTTTAAGGTGGCTAGGAACACAAATACCTTCTACCTTCTGTTCTAGGTTTTTCTTATCGTATATCAAAATAACGGTTTTGTGCCCCCAAAACCAGAAACCATTGATTTAACAACCCAAAGGTTCTTGAATGAGGGCAATGTCCTGCTTTACAGTGAGGTGTCTGCCTAAGCCCGGGTGAACTGGCCACAAGTTGCCTCAACTGTGATGCTTAACCATAGCTTCTTGCATTTTGCCCCTGTAGCAGCTGCTAGTGCTGTTGTGGTGATTGTACTTCAGATTCGAAGTTTTTTTTTGGAGCTGTGGAAGCACCTCCACCTTCCTCCATGGCTTGAGAAGTGATGGAACGAGATTTTTTGAGGGTATTATCTGCGCTCCCATATGAGGACATAACTCGAGACATAACTGTCCTGCTCCCTTTTCTGGGCTTCTCGCTTTGAACTTGCCAGCACTCCTGAGGGTACCGTTTGATTTTTCAGCTTCGTTTGGATTATACCCAGCAGCCTATGAGTTTTTTGAACCGCTTACAAAGGGCTCCACAAAGATTTACTTGTGGGGTGGGCCTTCCACAGCATTGTTTAGTTCACTTGTCTCCCCTGAGGCTTTGTTACCCAAGAATTAGGAGTCTTCAGAGAGAGAGGGATGCGGTAACACTGTCTAGACTAGTGGTCTTCGTCAGAGGCCAATAAGGCCCTCTCGATGGACAATCCTTGGTCAGTGATGGTTGGAGGTAGCGAGTCCCCCGTTACAGCTTGAGTGGTTTTTGTATTAAGTCCAATACGACCTTCCCACGAGTATTAGGCTTTTCAACGGTCCCTGGCAGCTTCCCCTTACAATCAGAAGGCTACTTGAAATTGAGAGGCGCCCGGTACCCAGAGTTCACTGTCCAATGACCAAGTTCCCCCTTGACCAGGCCGTCCTCTCGGCGTCGGCTCTTCCACCCTGACTTGGATTTGGTTCGCCATACTGTCATTCGGCAATCTCATCAGAGTTCCGTTAGGAGGGTTGAGATCGTTACCAGAGGGGGCACCACTAGGAGGTTGACAGACGGCTAGTCAGGTATCGCTAAAAACTGAGAAAAGTTTTTGTGGTCGGGACCAACGATACCGAGCTTTTCGCTCTAAGTTACTGGAAGCGCCATGACTGCTTTTTCCAGAACTTACGTCGCTTTCCCCTGACCTTTTCTCCACAAAATGCTCGCATTACAAAAGGAAAATTCAACTTTCTAAGGCAGCACGTTTTGAGGGAGAGCCTCAAGAACATAGCACTGGGAGTCACAGCGCACGAACATCTTATGATTAATATTATTAAGTAATAAATCCACGATCTTCTCATTCCAAAAATATTGGGGAGATCGTAGATTTATTAATTAATAATTTTATCCCAAACGAGAGCAACGAATCTTCTCATCAAAATATCCACGAAAATATCTTCTGGTAATTGTAGGAACAGTCTGAGCCATCCTCTCTAGCGTACGAAAATGTTATGCTAGGTGTAGGGAAAGGAACGCTGAATTTTCATTTACTGGGTAGGTATTCCAGATACCCCTCCCTTCATCACTCTCCCCCAAAATATTTAATGGTTTTAGCACTTGTCCATAACGTTCAAGAAAGGACCACGAACCATAACACCGCAAGTCTGTGGGGTACGGCCGTACGGGTAGGGAAAGGAAGGTTTGATGGTCTTTTATAATAAATTGTCATGGGTGCCCTTAGGGCTGAATGTTTTTAAACAAGAACGCGGTACCGGGAGTCACAAACGATTGATGTATGAATTTGTTTCGGGGGGTGGGGGGGTTCCTTACGCCCGGACCTCACGGGAATATGGGGAAGTTCCACATTAGACGATTTAGGGCAACTTTTGTTCGTTTGGGTCGTATTTTGGTTCCATGAAATTGCTTTGTTTACGTTTTGGATTAAAAGACACGGATATTCGCCCACGTACGATGTATGTATAAACCAATAAAGGGGAAACAGAGAAGTGATTTTGGCCATTTCTGTGTGAAAACGTTTTGCAATAGCAATAGTTTTTAGATCTTGGGAAGTAAATTTGCCATCGCTTTAGAATTCCGGGAATAACTAGTAAACAAAAAGCCGGATGCATTTGATTGGACCATTTTTTGGAACGGGCGAATCGTAGCGAGTCTTGCTGTTGTGACGTCATGATCACAATCTTCGTCACGTGATCAATATGTCGTTGGTGTCGTTCCAAGCGTGTTGTATTTTTTCGGTTTTCTGCTAATTTACGAAGTGCGATATTAAAATAAACTTAAAAAAAGTCAAATAAAAGACGGAGACGATTGTGGAACATAGTTCGTTTCGGTGCATCATGCGTAAATCGATGTTTAAAACGAAATCTTTTACTACGAAAAGTTATGGGGACCCTTCTCCTTTTCGTTCGAATTTAAATCGGCGTTTGCGTGTAGGATCTCGGGACGCGAACACGTAAATTTGGACTTTGTTGTTAAATTCAACCCTTAAACTAACAAAAACCGGCGGGGAAGTGTTCGCAAATCGGTCTTTTCGATGTCATGTTAAATGTTATCGGAAGAACAAGAAGATGGCGTCCTATTTTAAATTCGTTTGTTTGCGTTTAAAACTTAACGTTTTGTGTATCTTTTTCGTGTTTGGAATCAAGACGCCTAAGATTTCATTGATATGTTGATGTGGGGTAAGTTTGTAGACCTTTAAAAGTTTCGTGGTAACGGTTACGATAATGCTTACGTTCACCAGACGAAGTGCTTCATTAGCGCTACCTAAAGATGGGTGTTTGATAGCACTGTCGAGGTCTACACATCACTGTGAGTCGACGTACAGTGGTATTTACACCTCGACAGTGCTGTCACACAGGAACTCGTGAGAAAAACCTTGCTAGAGTATTCAGCTGTCTTTGGGTAGTGCTTCGTCTGGTGAACGTAAGCACCTACTTGTGCCAGCTTTAACATATGACGTACCTTAGCACCGATGGTTTATAATAAAACAACTTGCTGCGGTATATTTAGTTTCCGATTTATTTATCAGGCACGATAGGGCTCTTGTCATTTTGCTACCCTTCATATTAATCCGTTGAAGTAGGTTATGTCAGCTGCGTTCAATTCTACGTTTAATACAGAGAAATGATCACTGACTTGCAGAACATTCATATTACGATTGTGACGATTTCATTGTATATCCTGGTACTTCCGGGAAGACTGTCAATTCTGCGTTACTTCGTTAAACTTAATTCTGTGCGCTAGACCTACGTTTCTTAGCTGTACAAACAGTTCCACTGCATCAGTTTGACGAAACCTTTACTCGTGGCAGGACTACTTACACAATTCCAAGTTCAAATCGTAAATTTCAAATTAAAACGAATCTTACCAACTTTATCACTTCCATTTGGCTTGCTGCCAAGGATTGGGTACCGATCTCCACTGTAAATACCCTCGTTGTTGACATCTCTTCTCTGACACCTGCCATCTTTACAAACAAGGATAGCTAGTCATAAGCAAACCAAGTAAAAAGACACTCTCGTCGTAATCATTTTACAAAATGCGACAGGCACAGGGGGGGGCCCTTATCGGGTGCCAGAATTCGCATCCCAATTCGTTCAGCCATTGCGGCACTTCTTCCACAATCTCTCTTTATTTCCTTATTTATCACTTGCATTTCAACAGGTGTTTTTTTTCAAAGTAAACTCATGCATCAAGAATCAGATTAATAGTATAAACAAAAAGTTAAATCAGTGTAAGTGATTGCACTTTGTTTTTTTCGTTTACAATCTTAGACCACATAGCCATGTACTATATGGTACAACTCCCCTTACCCTTCGCAAGTACTTCATTTCTGTAGCATGTAGTCTGGTTTTTTGTGATTCGTTCAGCACCCAACTCTCTCTACCTTAGGTCAATATTGGTCTGTAACGTTATTGCTGTAAGTAGGTTTCATTAATTATTTCTAATTAACTGTTACAGTACTTACCAAAACAGTTTCTTTCTATCACCTTTGGCATATTCTAGGAATTCTTAGCCATGTACTTGAAATGTAGATAACAACAGAATTCAATTATAACGTTTGCAGGTTATGTGTATTATTTACCCCAATGATTGATTTACCCCTTACACTGTATACATATTCAAATTTTAGCGCGCTTGCGTTTGCGCAGGACCGAGGGAGTCAATGTGCAACACATCTGCAAGTCTTACGTGACTAGAGACACAATTTTAGCGCAGTCTAGATGTGTCTCGACTGCCACAGTATACAGGTGAAAGCGATTTTATAGGATGTAACTTCAGCACGTGTCGTTTTAAGTTTATCAGAAAGGCTCCACTGAACCGGTTAACATAATTGTTTTTTCCGGTAACTTCACGGCTATATTCATTCAGAGATATTCATTTTTTGATCGATCAAGGACAAGTCGACTCCTTGATTATTATAGGCAAGTGTGCAAGAGTATACTATATTTTTTGGTAATTTATCCACTGTAGGTACCTATCTCTTAATTTCGCTAGCTCTTTAGGCCATAATCTTTCAGAAATATTCATTTTGCAGTTAATCTAAGAATTTGAGGGGAAAGGCTAAGCACAGAATCTGCGATTATAGTTTGCAATATTTTTTAGTAGTATACCCACCATGTGATTACTCGTGATTCTACCATACAGCAGGTATACTGAAATGAATGGGTAAAGATTTTGATTTGTGTGCACTAGGGGACTATACAGCCGTGATCAGGATTACACCCTGAAGTGGGCAACCCCAACCGAACAAATCAAGAGACTGTGGTATACATCTAGAGAACTGAAACTGTCGCAATAAGACAGCCTCTCTTTAGATAAAGAAGTGATCTTTTGTTTTTCAAATAAGAGAAGCTATGCTACATCCAAGTTAATGGGGCACCTTGTATGCATTACAAGAGGTGGAATCCAAATTGCGTGAGGTTTACAACTAAGCTACCTGCTACATTTTTTTACAAAACATTTAATGAAACATTGTACAAAACGTTTAATAGATATTACAAAGATGATACATAAATTACAAATTTGTGTAAAGGTGCAATATAAATAGGTACCTATGCTCAAATACTTAACTGATATTACCAATTGTCTAATAAATCAAGACCAGTCTTGGGTAAATTGAATGACGATGATGATAATGATGACGAAGACGTATCACAGGTTACTGACTTGGTACTAATCTGTAAATATAAATACATATAAGTACAAAACTAAAAATGTTAAGATGTTACCTGAGCTAGTATTTTCGGTTTACTAACAACATTTTCAGTTTCGCTACTACCTTCGCATAATCTCAGATCTCTCTGACTAGGCGTTCGAAAACTAAATGGAGCAGAATGCTCGTCTCGATATGAAAAGTTATCATCGGAAATCATTTTTAACGCGTAACTGTTTTTAATTTCGCCATTGCGATTTAGTACACTGTACTTTAAACACACCTCCGGCTTCATTATGCTTTCGGTTAAGATTTGGTTCTGTTCGTTTTCTGTTAGTGTCGACCATAATTTGTCATAGGCAGCTTTGGTGGTATTTAAGTCAACGTGCAGTCTTTTGGCTATCGGGTTTAACTTACTAAAATATTGCTCGGCTTCGTGTTGCAGAGACATTTTTTAATTATCACATGCGGGTTATTATTAATAATCCCCAATTTTAACAACTTTTTAATTGGCTTATTTAGAGAGGTAGATGACCTCGCCCATTTTTAATGAAGAGGTTAGAATACACAATTACACACACGAACCACGGTACACGAGCGGCTACAGAGTAACTGCGGTGGTGGGCATGCGCATATACAGGGCGTCCCGCAAGGAAAGATACAACATTTTACTTTACAAAATGTTCCGTTCCTTGGCTAAATTCGAGTCAAAAATGTCCTATGAAAATGGGTCCGCAAATGCTTCGTTATGGAGATGTATATTTTTTTCATAATTCTTGAAAACATTTCCACTGAATATTTTTTACAATGCAGCAATGAACAGTGAACAGCATGAAGGTTTAACTACTTCTTGGTTCTACTTCTATTCTATTTAGCGCATTTTTGCAAATTTATTTGTAAAAAGGTATGTTTTCATCTCACTTTGGCCGGGAGCAAATGAGGACTTGTAAAACGGTTGTAGAAAGACGAGGAGTGTATGTGTAAGTAATGCGTACCTACCGGGCCGTGCAATAGGGCCATCCCGTCTTCATTTCTTATTTCTGATCTACAAAGTACGTTAAAAATGAAAAGATCCGTATATCCTCAATTTTTATTTGGGAGTAAAATAAACCCAAAATAAATTATTGAAAATCTGTGTTTTTAGGCCGAATTTGAAATGCTTCAGTCTAAATACGTCATAAATCTACAACCAATCACATATAATTGAACCGGTAACCTTTTGCGAGGCCCAAACTTCCACGCGAAAGTAAGTTCTCCTACAATATTGCCAAGTTGTGATGGCATCTGAATGGTTCTAGCAGCTGATTGGTCGGGCTTATTTCGTCACAGAGCCCGCACAAATCATCTCGTTTTAAATAACTAAGAAGCCCCTGATACAGCACATTTTTGTTTTTTTTTAATCAGAAAAACAAATTTCATCCGTATAAAATATCTAAGTTTCGTTTTGGTACAAGAACTCAATGAAGATGACACCGACCGTTGTTTGCAGGTTTTTGACACCAGAATAACGTTAATTTCTTGTTTAACGTTTGTTTTTCCGAGGAATGTATTTTCCTTGTAAATGGTACAGTCAATCGACATGATTGTCGATATTGGTCAGAGCAGAGCAGAGTACATACACAACATCCTGCAAAATCAACCGTTTGGTCTGGTATCTATGTATAGATTGTCTTGTTGGATCTTTTTTTTTTCCCGGTAATCCGACAAAACGGGGCTCCTTCTCACAGAATTTTAGACAGTTCTTGGACCTTATAGATAGACAGGGCCGTATCTAGGCGGTGGCGAGATGGGCGCTAGCCAAGGGCGCAGTTACCGGGGAGGCGCAAAATTGGCATTGAAAAAATTTCTTTTTACATTAGTGTATTAGGAAAAAAATTGAGGTTATTTAAACAAATGTTATTCCAGATTGTTAATACTGTACGTACTGTGACTGTGAATAGCTAGGTCGTTACAAAGTGGTTTTACCTTCACCTCTGCCCTTCCCCCCTTTTGCCTCCTTATGGCAATGTAATATATACAGTGTGTCCAATATAAGAAGGAAAAGCAAACAAGTCAAGTGATATTTTAAAAATTTGTAAATTCCGATCAGTTCCGAAAAAAAAATTTAATCATTTCGCCGGCCCCTGTTTGAAAAGATATCAAAAAACAAATAACACTTCCTCATAGGAACTTTTTAAGCTGTACAAATTAGCGTTTTTGAGAAACCATCAACAACGATGTATGGCACAATAAGATTCTTTATCACCTATATCATTTAAAGGAACCATCAATGAATTATTTTGATATTTTGTCAACGCCTACTACCGTAAAATGTTAAAAATTTTAAATTATTTATTATTTAGCTCAGAAAAATTGCTTGTTACTAAATTTTTAACATTTTGGTTTAGTAGGCGTTGACAAAATGTAAAAACAATTTGTTCTCCTAAATGACATATTGTACCATACATAATTGTATTCGTAATAAAAAATGCTACTCAGTACATTACCTATGTACTTTTTCCGGTCCATTAAAAATATGAAGTTGATGGTTTCTCAAAGACGAAACATCGCAGCGAAAATCTTGTAAAATCGTAAGCTTAAAAAAAGTTACTTTCAGTTTTTTTTAATATCTTCGGAACTGATCGGAATTTCCGCATTTTTAAAACATCGTTTTATTAAGTCCTAAAATGCGCAACTCTTCTAATTTAACCGACTGTGTACTTGTTATGGTTTCCGATGTGTCCATGATGTTCATTCTTATCTTGGACACACTGTATTATGTAATCTTTTCTCCATGTTTTAAAGAAGCGAAATTCTCGGATCAAAAAGCTTCAAACCTTGGACTTAAGAAATTTTTCGGAGAAGGACTGGGAGGTCTTTGCGTTTTTGTTGGGGGGTTTTTAATACCCCCCACGCGCAGGTGTGGTGGGGGGGGGGCGCAAACTTGAAGTGCCGCCAAGGGCGCGGTCATATCTAGTTACGGACCGGCTGATAGATGGGTTTGACGTTATCTAGTGGCCAGCTAGATCACCGTTAGGTTTTTTCTTGTGGGGCCATTTGAAATCTAGAATTTATTCAACCTTTGAGTGAAGGGATTCAAACGCGACCTCAATCTTTAGAAGAATTAGGACAACGCATCGTATTCGAATGCAGTCAGATTCCCCAGAAATGTTACCAAACGCACAACGCCATTTTAAACTTAATCTTTAGTATTGTAAATTTTTTTCGCCGTACCTATTGGCCGTTTTTGAGCCGTTCCTTGGTAAAATTTTTCAGTTCTGATTTGGAGTTCCAACTAGCCCCTCAAGCGTTCTGAAAGTTTCTCGAATACAGTTTTGGCTGGCATCGTTTCATAAAAAGATATGAAAGACTTTTACATTTGGTTTTGAGAAATACACATTTTCTTGGGGAGAAAGTACCTGTTTCTACCTAGAGTTCTGGATAGCTCCTCATCAGTTCTTGAACTTTCCGAAATGGAAGTTAAACCGGAGGGAAAACCTTATATACAGGGTGACAATTTGAAAACTTACCACCCCCCATATCTTAGTAAATAAACGAGATATTTAAAAAAGTCAAAATCCGTTTCGGTAATTCGGAGGGGGAATCACAATGACATAGTTGGCGACGCACCCCCTCCAACCCCCTGCGCCCCAGCCACCCAAACTTTTAAATCTTAAATAGTGACCCCCCATGTGTGATACGTCGTTGGAAAGCTCTGAAAAAATGCTTTCCAACCATACCAAATAGCATTACATTTAGGTTAGTTATTGGTAGCAGCCCTGTAATTATTTTCCAATGATTACAAGTAAAAGAGAAAGTGCGTGTTTCAACCTCATGTTATCATAATTATTTATTTCGATTGCGAAATCCCCTTAACGAGATATAATTTACCTACATGAACTAAACAAATTTAACTGAATTGTAGCCAAATGAGAGCACGCATAATACCGCGCCATTCTATGTAAACATAAACAAAAATAACGTTATTTACGACGCGACTACTACAGCTCGCCCACGTGCAAAAGGTGTACGTTCGTACAGATAATACATTGACGTTTGTAATCTACTAACCAATGAATTGGCTGGCATAGCACTCACCGAGCCAGGAGGAAAATTGTCGGGGTTTAACGTGTGCGCGGTCGCGTATTTTACCGCTTTCGGCTCTCTCTCTAGTTCGGATTTAGTCATTCTTCAATGTAGTTGTACTCTACGTTGAACGATTGAATAGTAAATACGTTTCGCGCCATTTTTACGTACTGTTGTAGTGAAGGTGCCCTTAGCCAATCTTCGTTTTTGATTTGATGTAGCTAATAGTGATTGTTGTTAGTGTTTGAATTAGGTAGTCGTTTAACTGTAGTTAATTATATTTCGAAAAGTGTTGCAATAACTGTTATTGTTGGTGTTGATTTAGTGCGGTGTTTAAAGGTACCTTATTTAGCACTGAATGTTTAGTATACGGGATGTACTTAGTGATAATAATAGGTGTTAGGAAATAGCGTTTATTCAAAATGGATTTTGGGGTGCTGACGAGACACGACAGGCACAATCGTAAGTAAACAATATTCCTATTTTTCTCGTAAGCGTAATACGAAACTGATATTGATTGCATCATACGATAAATAAATCGTAGTTACCTAATAACCTAAATGTGTAAAAAATGAGAGTCGTAAATAATCATCATCAATTGTTTCGGAAAGTCAATTATGCTTGATGGACGTTAATCGCGTAGGCTGCATAAAATCGGCGACGATGTGATCGCAAAATAGGTATTCACACAGTGAGTTGTATTTTAAATTTGTGTTATCGGAGACGGGTCCTGAGTCAGGTAGAACCAAAATGTAACGATAGCTTTATCGTTCTACACTGTTTTGAAAAAGACAAATGGTATTCAGATATGGTTATCAAGGTTAAGCGTAATTGGCTTGACTGCGAATTAATTTGACTTGTAACATCTTTACTAGAAAAACTAATGATAAGGTGAATGTGTAAAAGTGTACATTTAGTTTTTTTTGATGTTTTTGCGTTTCATCTGCATGATCCTTTACGTTTTTTTCCATAGCTGTCTCGGTAATCAGAGACAAGTGTCTGCAGCGAGCCGCAATCACGAATTGTTTGTGATACCACCTTATCAGTATTGAGCGAGGCACTCTCCTGCCAATCGGTAGGCAGACGTTGAAAAAATAGCAAAAATGGCACAAGAAATGTACTTAAGTAGTGCAAAAATGTGTCATACACAAACGAAATTAAAATAATAAAGTACCTACAAACCAAATTAAATTTAGGACAAAACTTCAAACTTCTATTTCGTCGACAAAAAATTTAGCTTCAGTTACTTTCCTCAATAGGTGCGCAATTATCGCGGGTAATACTGAAATAATGGAGAAGTGTTACGAGGGGTTTCCAAAGAGTTGTTTAATTAGGGTACCACTTCGGGTACTACAGCAGTTACCTAATGCAATTGCAAAACAAATCAATTAAGACATATTTGTTTGCATACGAGCAGCCAGAAAAATAAGTGATGATATTGCTAGCACTTACGTATGGAAAATATATAGAATACCGCTGCTTATCTGGCTTTGTTAACATGTTATTTTGCCGAATTCCTTGTTTTGTAATTGAAACATAAATGTT